GCATACTAGTCAAAGCACAAAAACCCAAATCCACCTGTTTTATTCCTGAATAAGCTAATATTTTACATATACCGTACAAGCAAGAGCCTAGTACCTAGCCAAATACCTTTTGATAGTTTCCAGAATTTGGAATCCGCTGAAGGCCCATTCTCAATGGTTCGTGCTCTGGGGGTGTTCTTTCACGCCTGTCCAACCCGACGACTGCGTGCATGTATCCATGACCGTAGATGCGATGCGAATATGGTAAAGCACAAACTCGCGGTCTGCCCCTTATTGGTGGTGCAACAGCGTGTACCACTTATGCCACGAGCCGTAACTACTCCTCTTCCTCCAATCGATCGCTCATTGCTGAGCATCGTGATGAGCCCACCTGTGATCTTTTCTTGTAATTTGTGGCCACTTATGTCGGTCAGTGGCACAGTGAAGTGCGTCGCTCAGTCTCGTGTCCACGTGCTTGGACATTTGATCACTCTCTCTGTTTTGGCTCCGACTATCCACTTTACTCGTCATTACGAATTTCTCTCGGGCCACAGATTCGTCTTTCACGAGTCTACTAGATAAATTAAATTAAAATTTAATACATTCGACACGATAACATTCCAATTTGCTGTCTCATTTCCAGTTTTTCTTTGTTTGGTAGTTAGTCCTGCCCACTGCTACTTCAACGTCGCAATATTTTGGGTTAAATCGGTTACCATGGTTTTGCTTCGAATCTCCTCAATCCTAATTTGAACTCGCAGGGAAACTCCAAGCAAAGCCCTTTCCATTGCTCTTTGAATGACCTCGAGCCTTCCGATTCAAATACTATTACAATTCCGATTAAAATACTATTACAAGTTCAATTTGACAAAAAATATAAAAAAGATTTCAAAATAAATTTTGTATTTTAAAAAATAACACGCTTTAATTTTCCCCGTTTTCCAAATGATTCTTCAGATACCCTTGAGCTTAAGTATAATACTTTATAGATAAGTGCCCCCGACAGGAAATTCACTGGAGAACAACTTCTCAATCTTCTTAGAGTACATTTATATAAATAGATAAACAAAAAACAAAATAAACAAAAAACAAAAATAAAAGAGAAAATACAACACATACAATTAAAATCTTGAGGTAAATATTGACTACAGCGCGAACTACCACGTAAGTGACACGCGTAATGGTTTTTTTATCAGTTTCAGAGATTTGTTTACCATTGACAGTATTACATAACAGGATTTTTTAGATTTTAGACATATTTTCTTACAATGTATTAATTTTGGTCAACAGTCAGTTGGCTGATTACAATTGAAAATGGCTATCAATGAAAGAAGGATACAAAGAAACGCCATGAACAATCAAGCCAATGTTTATCGCTGCAAATACCAAACCGGCGTATCTGGAATAGCCCTTTAGGCTGCCGGCGACTAGGTTGGCAAAAGAATCTGTAAATACTCTCCATTGACATTATTGGGAGAACGAAAATATTTAGGGCATAAATAGCTTCGGAAGAGAACGGGAATTTTTCTTTTGAAAATGATTCCAGATTAACCTTTTTGTCATAAATCGAAGTCAATATCAATTAATACCTTGGAATTATCACCATAGGTTAGGACACGTGACTGCTTCGCAGATGAAAATGTGGACATAATCTAGAACGTGAACCCGCACACGGAACAACTAATTGAAATCAAATGAGACTTTGATGTGACGTGTGTCAATATGTAGGAAGCAAAGTTCACCCATGAGGGATATGGGGGCTCAAGTAACAACTAATACAGAGAGACCGCGAGCTTGTTGGTTCCTCTACACCAAACAATTTTCATCAATCAAATAGCAATCCAAGCTTCTGGAAATTGATATGAAAATCGTACACTTAATTCTCAAATTTTATTTACACAAACTGAAATCTCTGTTTATTTGAAGTTCAAGCTTTAAATTTAGCAAACAATAACAGTGTGCAATTAAAAAATGGTAATTAATGCTAGTTGAAAATACTCAGTATTCAGTAAGTGGATAGTTTTCGAAGTTCATCTTGGGATTGGGATTTCAAAGTTTCAATCTTTGTAAAAATGGTTTTTACGAACTCAAATTGCATTCATGTGAACGTAGAATGGCATTTTATTTTTAATTTGCAAACACTTCATCATCATCTTCAGCATCGGCCCACAGTCTTCCACTGCTGGACATAGGACTCTCCCAAACCAGTGGTGTGTAGTATAATTATGATGTATATAATACAGGTTGTCGAAGCACGGGCAACATTGTGCAAAAATCATTGTATGGTGCCGCTGACTCGTACGTGTAATAATATGCAAGAGAGTTAGCGGTTTCTTGTCCAACCGTTCTTTTCGGTATCGAGTAGAAGGAACCCGCTCCTCCCCGTGACCACTCACGCCTGGAGTCCCGCAAGGCCCCGTTCTCTCCCCGCTCCTATTTAGTTTATTTATTAACGACTTTCATTCCGCCCGCATATAAAAACAGTCCGCGACTGTGCCGCGTTTATTCTCGGCAGACTCTATCTCATGATCTGTAAGCGGAGTAAAATGTCCCTTCGGAACAAGGTGACACTTTACAAAACTTGCATAAGGCCCGTCATGACTTACGCGAGTGTGATGTTTGCTCACGCGGCCTGCACACACATAGACACCCTCCGATCCCTACAATCCCGCTTTTGCAGGTTAGCCGTCGGAGCTCTGTGGTTCGTGAAGAACGTTGACCTACACATGGGCCTCGAATCAATCGCGAACGCTACTTCAATAAGGCTATGCATTATGATAATCGCCTTATCGTTGCCGCCGCTGACAACTCTCTAAATCTTGATCACGCAGGAGCCAGTCACCGTCGACGCTCTAGACACGTCCTTACGGATTCATCAGATCCAATAACCTTTGCATTAGACATCTTCAACTCTAACACTAGGAGCAGGCTTGAGGACCCCGGTAACCGTACTCGTCGAACTCGACAGAGGTCGACGCGCAATCTAACGCAAGCATCAACCTGCTGAGTCTCTCGCCGGATCTTCTCAGCGGGTCGCAATTCCGATCCGGTAGTAGATTCATTCGCGAAGTAGTTGCTCTTCAGTTGTTAGGTCACCTTCGGAGGCGCTCGGGCAGCTGTCAGCAAATCCCCCTCCTCCTGGCTGAGCCTTTGATCGCCCACCTGTCCTAGTGAAACTGGAAAGGCCTCCGGGCCACCAGTAATCTTTCCATCATAAAAAAAAGTCAGCGGTATTGTGGCTTGTTGTGCGATATTGTGACAACGTCGTGTGTTCCACGTGTGCCTCGATTTCGTAAAAATGGATCTCATCTTTACAAATATACAAACGGAACAGTATTTTCAAACAAATAAGTATTAAACAAACGAATTAATATAAAAACACATTAAAATAATGACACTACAACGCGTCGCCTACAATTTAATGATAAAGACTATTACATTTACGACTGCGGAATCAGAATTTACCTGGCGACTAATTTAATTACCAATTTTTTATGACACAAAACTCTTCAGAAGCTTTTTTTTATTGCTTAGATGGGTGGACGAGCTCACAGCCCACCTGGTGTTAAGTGGTTACTGGAGCCCATGGACATCTACAACGAAAATGCGCCACCCACCTTGAGATATAAGTTCTAAGGTATCAGTATAGTTACAACGGCTGCCCCATCCTTCAACCGAAACGCATTACTGCTTCACGGCAGAACTAGGTAGGGTGGTGGTACCTACCCGCGCGGACTCACAAGAGGTCCTACCACTAATCTTTTATAAACATTATTAACTGTTTCTTTTAATCGGCTTTTCTTATGCCCTTTTACTTTGTGCAATCTATTTACTGTCTTATCGCAATAAACTATTAATTTGTACATTATCTACACTTTAATTTTCAAAAACATAAGTTACGAAATGATGAATTGATTGAGGAATGAATGTAAACTAGTTATTAAGATGTTTTACCACTTAATGATCATGTACTTATAATGCACCCAGACTCACGAGAAGCCTCAACCACGAGCTAGACCAGAATTTACAGGCAGAATAAATCGTTTTGACAAAAAATAATCACAGCTTAGATTAGACAGCCAGAGATTATTTTAGTAGAGAGAACTCTACTGAAGTTTCTTCTAATCAAAAGTCATTATGTTTCTAAATTCGTCACAGATAATGTTCTCGTGTATTTTATTGATTTTGTAAATTACAAACGTACAAATGTGCATTTCGAAATACCTACCTACTTATTTATAACTTTATAACTCTTACTAGCGACTCGCCCTCGCTTCGCTTCGGAAACATTAAAACACACATGAAACCAAAAAAAAAAAATAAAAAAAAAAAAAACAAAGTAGCCTATGTTCATCAGGGACAATGTCGGCTTCTAATGGAAAAAGAATTTTTCAAATCGGTCCAGTAGTTTCGGAGCCTATTCGAAACAAACAAACAAACAAATCTTTCCTCTTTATAATATGTATTAGTATAGGTGACATTATACTCACAGCTCGCGACTTGCAATAATACCAGATTCTACCATAAAAACCCAATGTTTCAACTAAAATATTTTATTATCCAATATGCTAATGATTCATCCCGTTTTAAATAGTTTGTGTGAATAGGTACTACTGTTTTGCTGAATTCGAAATGCAAAATACCCTATACAAATGATGCAATAATTGCAAATAATTGCTAATCTGTTGCCGACACAATTTCAATGCATTTCCTTGCACAAATAAACATTCATACTGAGCTCTACGTTTAACATTATTCACACTAATCAGCACACCCTCAGTATAGTTTTCAAATATACAACAATAGAAAAATTGGGTTTATTTGACAACAAATTTTAAAATGCCCGCGTTCGAAGGCTGACGCAATCATGACGTTGTCCGAACGATTTACCATTTTGTAATAACTCAACTCGACTGGTTGTGTGTACTGTCATCCCATTCTTTCTTCAACAAACTAAGTTAAGATAGACAGTGAGAAGAGAAAAATTCAGTTTGCTATTGATTCTGCGAACGCGCGCCGCTCTTATTTCGCTTCAGACTTCAGGTTAGATGCACAAAAAGCGGTGTAGTATCGCTGTTTGGAATTTAACGTTTGGAATTAAAAATTATTAACTATTGAAATAGTTTCGGATAGTGTTCGGTTCTACATTAAGGTAAGGTAATAAAATTTATAAGCTGCTGCACGTTATTTAATCATTTAATCAAGCAATAGATATTTATGAGTATTTATATTAAAATTGCACTTTTTAATAAAATTAGGCAAAATATTATTGCGAGGCGTTTATGAAAATTATAATTATTATTTATGTATTTATTTTTGTTTCAAGACAATATGTTTTAAAACGTGTTGTCACTATAGGCATGTGTTATGGGCTTACAATCTCGTTTTAATATAAAGGTTTTAATGCGTTCATCTCCGAGTATAATTTATCAATATTTTAATATAAATAAGCACGTTAGTATAAAATTTATTGATGATTCAGACATTATTATCGGAGAAATGATAATAATTTTAAACACGAAGATGAAATAGAACAACATTGCAGCCAAATGTGTGACCTTGGCCTCCAATTTATGTATTAACTATCTCATTAACTTTGAAATGAACTTTTTTATTTAATTTAATACTAATTTATTAAGTTAACCTTTTTGAGTATAGTAAATGGTATTTTTCTTAATGTGATGATCTTCGTTTCCAGGGCAGCATGTGCGGTATTTGGGCAACATTCGGTGTAACTGGTGGCCTCACTCCTACCTGCGTAAAATGTTTTTCAAACATTCGCCACCGAGGTCCGGACGCGTGGCGAATTGAGCAAGATGCTAGAGAGCCGTTGGCTATTCTCGGATTTCAACGTCTCGCTATCGTGGACGGTCTGCACGGTATGCAACCGATGCGCCTACACTGTTACCCTCGCACTACGTTAATCTGTAATGGTGAGATTTACAACTGTAAACGCCTACAGAAACAGCATGAGTTTCAATATGAAACTAACTGTGATGTCGAAGCCATCATACATTTGTATCAAAGATTCGGCATAGAAGAAGCCGTCACTAACCTTGACGGGGTTTTTTCGTTTTGCCTTGTTGACGGTGAGAAGAAGAAAGTTTATATCGCCCGTGATCCTTATGGCGTTAGACCTCTATTTAGTTTTCATGACCCTGAAAACGATGTTCTCGCTATTTGTTCTGAAGCTAAAGGCTTGCTCGGCTTAAAGCAAAATGGCAGCCCAAACTCGACACTCGGTCAATTCTCTCCGGGTAACTTACAAGTGTGGAGTATACTTGAAAGTGGTAAAGTCAAACTTGATTACACACATCAATATTTCACACCTGGGAAGGCACCCAAATTTGAGCCTTACGTACCGGAAAATAAATTAATCGATATGAACGTCAATGAAAAGATTGCGTATTTATTGGAGGCCGCTTGCCGAAAACGACTTATGTCCGATCGACGAATAGGCTGCTTACTTAGTGGTGGATTAGATTCCTCGTTAATCACCGCCATTGTAGTGAAACTTGCAAAGGAATACAAATTGCCTTACAAAATACAAACTTTCGCAATCGGGATGGGCGATTCTCCAGATCTTGCAGCCGCCAGAACCGTGGCGGATTATTTAGGAACGGAACATCACGAAGTTCAATTCGATGAAAACGATATAAGAAAAGAACTGGATAACGTTATTTACCATTTAGAATCTTATGATATAACAACTATTCGAGCGAGTTTGCCAATGTACCTTTTGTCAAAGTATATTAAAGAAAAAACAGACACAACAGTGGTATTTAGCGGAGAAGGAGCCGATGAACTAGCGCAAGGCTATATCTACTTCAGAGACGCACCGTCTGAAAAGGATGCACATAAAGAGAGCGTACGTTTGCTTTCTGATATTTATCTCTATGATGGACTGCGAGCAGATCGAACGACGAGTGCCTTTAGTTTAGAATTACGAGTACCGTTTTTAGATATCCAATTCACTCATCACTATCTTTCAATACCTCCTAAACTACGACAACCCCAAAACGGCGTTGAGAAACATCTGTTAAGAAGTAGTTTTGCAAAAAGTGGATTATTGCCAGACTGTGTGCTGTGGCGACACAAAGAAGCATTTAGTGATGGTGTGTCTTCAGTTAAAAAATCGTTGTTCTCGGTCATAAAAGAGATCACAACTGAAAGATTACAAGAAGACGATATACAATATCCAGGACTGCAGCCGAAAACGAATGAATCCAAATATTACCGCTACGTATTTGAGAAATCATTTCCAGGACAACATAATTTTACTCCGTACTATTGGATGCCAAAATGGGTTCAGGTTTCAGACCCTTCGGCAAGGTTTATTAAACATTATGCGGCAAAATGATAACTCATACACCTACAAAATTATTAATGTTAATGTTATTTTTGGTTGATAATAAAAATAAATTGTTGGATTTAAATGACTTTACTTTCTGAAGTTGCTTGTAATACTGGCAAGTATGACAAACAATTACTACAAAAAAGTATTGTTTGCAGTGTTGTATTGTTCGATATTTGTAACCGAGATGGAAACGGTTTCTTAATCTACAATGGTGGTCTAATTGAATCAATAAAATTTTCCAAGCACAAGCAATCTTCGTATAAGGAGAGCTTTTGTTGTTGAACTTCTGAATTATCGTAGGAATCAAAAAATTTCACTTTCGCAGAATCATTTCTCTTAAAGCTGCATTGAGGAAAGTTTTCGGTCCTGATTGATGTTTCGCTATCAAATTCATACAGAGTAGAATTAGAACGTTTAAGTATTGGTCTACTTGTAAAAGATGTACTCTTTTCTATGTACTCCACACATTTGCCTTCATTTTTGTCACTAAAAGATTTATTTGATTTCGTTTCACTCTCTTCATCTTTCACAACTCTTGTCTGGCTGTGACGAAATAAACTCATAATAACAGTACAAGTGGGACATGAAATATTTCTTCTCATTAAATTAATTCTCTCAACCAATGCAGAGTCAATCGGAGCTAAGCTTAAGACCGTTAGATTGTCTTCAGTCTGTATACTTTTTTCTCTACATGTAGAGATTGCGTTCAAATTTCTTGCTGCTTCACAAACACTACATTCGCAAGAGATGTTAGCTAATTGCTCTTTCAGCAAACGAAGCTCCAGAGGCTCTAAAGGAGAAAATATTTCCCCAGGTACCCTCTGCATTGTTTGATGGGACATTAAATTTAAATGAACTACTGCATGCTACATTTTCAATTATTCAGTCGAATTCTGTAATAAGAAAATTCATAACTTTTTTTTTAAATCACTATTTCACATTAGAATCACATTGCATAGGTACTATATTTTCATTAATTTATTTCAAAGACAACAATACGCTTGACTTTCTTGCGGAGCTTGTCACAAATTAACAACGTCAATATTCTAATGTCAAATAAAAATTTAATAACGATAAAGGTCGTTCTAGATTTGAACAAGTGGCATAATGAAACATGTTAAACAGATGATGAATACAGTGCAATTTTATTTTACTAGATGTGCCAACGATTCGATCGTGATTTTTCCAATGTTTTAATTGTTATACAGAATGAAAATCGTTGCATCTTCCTGGGATAAAGACTTGCTTGTCTCACACCGATCCATAAGCGATATGGCAACGATTACCATGGCAAATCAAACTATACGTATGCTTTGCTATTATGTATGCGACGGTAGATGAAGACGTTCAGGGTACTTAGTGCTATAAAAATATTTTTTAACGTTCTCGATAGCGTAAAAGCGCCACGTTAACTGGTCCCGTGATAAGTTCGTAAAGAACTTGTGTTACAGGTACCAGATAACGGATATAAATGTAAGATTTTTATTATACACATACATATATTTAATATACATCCATAACCCTGGAAAAGACATTTATATTTATCATACAAATATCTTCCCTTGGCGGAATTCGAACCCGCGACCCCCTTGTGTAGTGACCATTTCACTTACCACTAGACCAGACGGCCGTTAGCTCATATTTGTATGGAATGTGATCGTTTGCGTACGTTTGCCGCTAGGGGCGCTGTTCCGATTACATACAAAATTGGCTTAGCTTTTACGCTATCGAGAACTTTAAGAAACTCGCACTAAGCACACTGCACTGCTATAGGACTACCTGTCCCAAATTTAAAGTCTATCGGATGAATAGTTTAAGGTAGCTGTAGAGCATAATGAGTGAGTGGAATTTCGCGTTTATATATTTAAAAGAAGAAATGAAACATGGGTTTAGAGAACCATACCGATACGATAGTGCTGATGATCGACCATAAAATACTGTAAAAAAAAACTATGGAAAAACTCGTAGAATATAATCTGAGTATATAAGTAAAAAACAAAGTAACGTGAAACAAAATAAAACGTTACTCAGACTGCACCTGAAACACATTACGAACACAAGGAAGGTAGATAAAGCTGTGAATACTGTTAAATACCATACATAAATATTTATGTACAAATTAATAAAATTTACTACCTATTCCTCTAACACCAAAGTTTCCACATTCTTAAAATAAATTAGAGGATCTCTTATGAATGCGGCCCTCCGTTTGTAAGGGCTGGGTTAATTGCCCAAAACTTCATATACCTTGTTACATTTTATGTCAAACGAAGTACTTAATAAGTTGACATATTATGCTACCCATTCTTTGGAATTTTGTTTGTATAAAAACTATTTTTTCGGAATTATTAAGATGTTATTACTGGAAATGAACAGACCAGCTTAAAGTCCACTTGGTATTTAGTGGTTACCGGAGCCCATTGATATCACAACGTGAACAATGTCAGTAACCTTGAGTTTTGAGGTCAAAATTTCAAATGTATTTTGTATAACGACTATACCACTATAACAAATATACGACCAAATATTCATTACCACATATTTGAAGAACATTTAAACTTACGTAGGTAATGAAGAGGATATACTGTATATACTGTGACATACTGTATCCAAAGATAATTTTATTACAGAGTAGAAAACTATGTGGTGTGATTTCGCGTGATGCGTGACAAGTCTAAACAACTTCCTACTTTTCACGCTGACATCCGGAACACTTCAACTGCAAAATCACCTAAACTGGGTGACGACAAAAAAATGATTTAGTACCAGCAGCAGTGTATTTACATCGCTAAACATTCCTACTACACTGCTACTAAAGATGTCTTGAATAAACAGAAGCTTAGTTTTTCATATCACTTTCTAGCCATTTCTAAAATGTCTACAAAATACCATAAAAATTGCACGAAAGACCCAAATGAACTCGAAGATCCAACCCGAAAACAGCCCGATGAACAACCAACCCGAAAATTGAAGCCATTAACTACAAAAGTAAGAAATTTACATGACGAACTTTTTGAATTCTAAGCGACTGATTTAATAGATTCAGCAGACAGCAGACAATAATTGCAACGGAACTAGGTACACAATGTTATTAGTGACCACTATACAGAGGTCAGACACTTAGCTATTACACATAATATTGTCAGACGAACTGCAGGCGTTTTGTGAGCGTGGGTGCCCATGTAAATATCCTGAGATATATTAAAACTAAATAGCCAGTCAGGAATAAGGGCAACAATATACCTTACTAACTGTTAAGTTTCGCCATGGCTACCTCAAGTAGTGACAGTATTCTTTTAGATACATACTTAATACCTATGTAATTAATTAAGAAGTACATGCAGTCAAGTACTGCGGTAGTATAAGTCGCGCCAATAAAGAAACGAATCGAAAATGGCACGTATGTACCCGCACTGACAGATGGTAGGGTCAACAAATAAAAAAAAAGATAGAAAGAAAAAGTTGTTTATTGTAAAAAAATATAAAAAAACAAATGAGAATGTACTTTACTTTACTTTGGTGCTCTGGCAGAGGGGGAGGTGTCTCATCTGGGATGCAACTTGCGTAGATACTTTTGCTGCCAGTCAGTAATAAGCTTATTACACTTCAGTGACTGATTTCAGTCGCTACTGAATTAAGTCCAGTGTAATAGCATTAAGTTAGTCTACTGAATTATGTAGGAAGGATGGTTTCTAACTGACTGAATCATTTAGAAGCCTAATTAGAAACGCATTTAGGAAGGTGTAATCGCATTTAGTTACTGAATGATCCCATAGCTCTCCGTGCATAAGGACGTTTTAGTTTGTTTTTTGCTTCCGAATAAAAACTATTAATTTCGGTCGCCTTTATTTAATGTGCCAGACATTTATAAATAGCCTGACATGTTTCAGGGATAGTTTTTGTCATCAGGGGTTGGGATATTGAAGAACTAAATTTTAAATCTTGATACGAATTTCCTGTTGCAAGAAATGTTAATGTTACAACCAATCTTTCTTTTGGACTTATACTATCGTAGGATTAGATATGTAATAGTTATATAATAGATATATAATAGACTATCGTAGGACTTCTGAACTTCTAGATAACAAATGTATTCACATTTTACAGCCTCTATGCGATTGCAGCAATTGCACCTGTAAAGATTGTCCAGATGTGTTAAAAACCTTTTCTATTAATGTTACTGAAGATTCCTGCGATTTTGGTACGAAAAAAGTTGAGCAAATTGACGAGAGCTCACATGAAGTGTCCATAAAAGACTGCCAAAGTTTGCTAGACGTGTTAAATAACACCCGAAACTGTACATGTGAAATCATTGCCAAAGTAGTGCGATCAAATGTTTATATACACAGGGGAAAACATAAAGTTTCTGATATCCTAGATGACACCAACGTAGCAAATGTATCCATTAAACCAGAGGAATAAAATTCAAAATACACTGAAGCAATTTTTATTTGAATTAACAAATATATATAATAAGTCAAAGAGAAAAAAACATTACATTTTTTAAAAGTGAAACTAATGGTATTATTATTTTCGTTATGACGTTTCTCCAAATTTATTTATGATTACAAATATAATAAAATAACGAATTATTCATCAATTATTAGATCGTTTGTTTTATTGTCATTACTAAGCTGTTCGCTTTGGTATTTCTTGTATCTTTCACATAAATAATTCCAATATTTACTTCTAATTTTGTCGTATCTAGTGGCCAATGCCTGACATAATTCCACAGCTCTGTCTGCATTGTGGAAGCAGTTTGTATCTTTTTTTTTAATAGCATCCTCGCATACATCTATGATGAAAGCTAAAAGGAAAGGCGACCGACACTTGTTCTTGTACAGTTCTTCGCAAAACGATGTGATAACAGCGTTTCCACTAAGACCACGCTTATCATGTATAAGCAGCCCTCTCAAGTAATTCCACGCGCTCTCGTTATTTTTAACGAAATTAATTTTTTCCAAAGTGTAGCACACTTCTTGCTGACAAATCAAATCCGACCAGCCTAAATTATTGTTCACTACAAAGTATCGCTGATTCCACGCTGAATTATTACGAACGTCGTCCGTGATCAGATTGTCGACGAAATCTAGTTCCTTTTCGTAAAGCCTGGAATTAAATTTACACATATATATATACACTAGCAACCCGCCGTCGCTTCTCTTCGGAAACATGAAATTTTATTATTGATAGCTGAGTCACGCGATGTTACCCGCGGTTATTGTCGTACCGCGGGTAATGCCGCGGGGCAAAGCTAGTCTAAAAAAAGTAGCCTAAGTTACTATTTATATCATCAGCTACCTATCAGTGAAAGTCTCGTCAAAACCGGTCCAGCCGTTCCAGAGATTAGCGGGAACAAACAGACAGAGACAGACAGACAGACAAAAATTGTAAAAAATGTTATTTTGGTGTATGTACCGTATATATATATATATTCATATGCATGTAGTAAAAAGTGGTTATATCAATTTTACAAACAGACACTCCAATTTTATTTATATGTATAGATGATGAATTATTAAACACGAAGCGGGTCACAACGTTAATTATTAAAATATTGTCTTGCAGACCTGAACAACGAGATAACACTATGCTCATTGAATATAAGAACTTTGTAACCCGCAGTCAATAAAAACATCGATAATATCGACAATCTCTTTTTATCACGACATATGGAAAAAAATGTATGTTACCTAAAGCTGGTAATGAAACTTTTAGCAAATATTTTATTTTTAAACACACAGTGAACTGTTTATATGGTAACAATTTCTTGATTGTTGTTTGTATTGTGTTTTAAAGCCTTTATCGAATTAGTGTTTTGAGCCTGCATAGCCCCACGGGCAAAGAGCTTCCCACACATACAAGCAATATGCCATAACACTTATCCATAGTACTATTACATAAAAAATAACTAGTAGATAATAACTAGATAGATATGGATAGAGAATACTGATCAGTAATAACACTTCTTTCACTTTTTTTATTGCCCTTGTAGGCAGCACACGGTCCACTTGATGGTGAGTGGTTATCGTCGCTTATGGATGTCAGTCAGTAATGCCAGGAACATAGCCAAGCCGCTGCCTTCCGTTAAGTACTCTCTGATGGCTTTGTTTGAAGAAGGACATTTCATAGCACTCGGGAAACACCATAGAGGGGAGCTCATTCCATCCACATGGAGGTTCACCCCAAAATATATATATATACCACTGAAGACAGGTATGACCTAATATATAGCCTATATTCTACAATCAGACCACAAGTGTCAAGGTATGCACCTTGTGCCATTCATGTAGTGATGTCTATGGGTGCCAGGAACCATTTAAGAAGAGATGGATTGGATTGAAGTGAACTAACCGTACCATAGCCATGTATATAATGAAAAATATATATTGTTTGTTAAGAATTTCACCAACTCACCCAAATGTTTTGATAGCCCATTGCCTATGTTGCCAAGCATGATAGTTCTTTGGATCTTGTAGAAGTGCATCGCCTGTCAATTCAAGTTCCATTGTGGGATCTTGCAGCCATTCTACCAAAACCCTACGGTGGTGCCATACCTGAAATGTTATTGCCGCCATGAAAAGTTGTATGATAATCATATATACATGTTAAGATATACTACAATTAGTTTTTGCAACAAACTTGTACAGATATTATATGTGTGATACTGTACCTATAATATGCGTACAAAAACTAACAGATGGAATAAGTAAATGATCTCTGTAGTGATATTCTTAATATCTGACTTGCAAATACTCCATTGCATTAATATGATTTAGTAATCATTTAAACCTTTAGTTCCAACAATGAAAGCCTACAATCATTAATATTGATTTTTAAATAAGGTAGCCAAATCAATCATTGTATCAGAATTTCACATTAAGCAATAACATCTATTTTTCTGTGTAACAGCGAAATATACTTTTTTAGACAATATGCAATATGTCACAGATAGCTAAGCTTCTTAGCATTTTATTCATATTTCAGTTTTTGGAGCAGATTGAATACCAGGTATGTCATGAGCACATGCACACATCTTGTTCAATAGGAAACAGTTTTCTACGGTGATTATTTCATTTAGTATGTAAAAATGTGTGATCTTACACTAGGCATTAAAATTAATAATAATTATACCTGATAATTCTTTGGTGAATTCTTTATAACTGCTTCAACATAATCTAATTCTGTCCTCAAGTCAGTGTTCAAATGTTTCAGCAAATCTCTCCTGTAAAACAAATGTCATGTCTTATTACTTTATGTTGTAAGTAAAATTTTGCCACCGCACTTAGTTAATTTAATTAATCTTTAAATGGCTCTGAATAAAGATTAAGCTTTGCAGAATTTATTTATTAATACAGTTTAACAATGTAAACAAAATAGAAGTAATAAGAGGAACAGCATTGTAACAAAACCATTACATATTTAAAACAAACTTATAATTTCAAAATTTTTAATTCTTTAAAAAAATATTTCTATTATCAATTTTATAATAGAAATATTTTTTCTTTTTTTCATTGCCTTCGTAGGCAGACGAGCATACAGCCCACCTGGTGGAAAGCGGTCACCGTCGCTTACGGGCGTCAGCAATGCCAGGGGGAGAGCCAAGCTGCTGCCTACCATTACTCTCCGCAAGCCTCGTTTGAAAAACGACATATCATAGCGCTCCGAAAACACCATGGAGGGGAGTTCATTCCATATTGCATTCCAAATATTGTAATACAATACTGAATATTATCTATTTTATAGTAATAATATGTAAGTATATATATATTCTTAGAATTGCTGCTTTGATTCGTTTTTAGTTTTTCATAAGAACAATGAAAATTCTCTCATAACTTAACCGTTGTTGCAACCTTAATGTTTTTGGTGTCACCTTTTCTTAGAAGTATTATTAAGTGTATGAAAACCATATACACATGTCACTCAACTGTCATGCTTCTCAACAATTGGACTTTAACCATGTAATTCAGTATCATAATAGCAATGAAATAATTTGCTGTGCCACAAGCAAATCACACTATATTGGTTAATGTATGAAGATAAATAAATACCTGTATTGCCAAACAGTGTAGTTAGCCGGATTTAATTCCAAAGCATCCTTTGTAAGATGAAGTACTCGTTCTGACTTTTCATTACTTTGTAAAACTGCCCGGAAGTAATCATACACATCCTCAACTAAAATTGAAAAGTATTAATACATAAATGAACTTTAAATTAATTGATCTACTCTGTATACTCTTGGTAATGTACACTTATCTGTATACATAAAACTTCAATCTGTTTTAGTAACAACAAACAAAGAATTGAATTTTGATTAAGCTGGATAGCCAAGTAATACTGGTAAAATTGGAAACCATGTTCATATTAACATAAGGAGACGGTACCAAGTGCTATCTATCAAGTGCACTCTCTAACTAGTCGCACAGTGATCTCTATTGGTAAAATTGAGGGAACTGATGGAGCTATACATTCATATTTGCGATATATACATATATCTATCACGTTCATGTATATTAAATATATATATAAATTATTTAACCTTTCACTTAATAGGTATTTGCCTTTGTGTATTGCATTAATTTTCAATACCATATGTCATGCCAACTATTACTGACTCAATAACCTTCAAATGCATTTATGCATTTTTATACTTTGAACTTGTTTGCTACGAAATAATAATGAAAAAAAAACAGGCATTACACATACATTTTTCCGAATGAGCTATAACTACCACTGGGTTGGGTCCGTCATCCTCTGGAACAGGCGTAACATCACTCCACTCCGGCCTTTCTTTGTATGGTATCCATAAAACATCACTGTCCCCGCAATCAGACATGCTGAGTGAATTCGTAAAATTATACAAATGAAGCTTGTCTTCACGGTCTTCAATTTTCACATAAGTAGTACTCTTATCAAACGTGACAAACACAGCTTTACGTGAGTAAACATGTGTACCAGTTATCTAGGCCAGAAACATTATGAATACGAAAGCGTATCTTTAGTATTTATTGACGTAATTTTAACTAATGCCCTGTTTATTGACTAGGTATTTAAAAATTGAATTCATTTGACTTATGTTTACATTTAGATACCTACGTACGTGTCCACACTTTTTACAATTTACACAGACTATGTCAAACTACAATCAATAGTTAGGTTTTTTTTTACATTTACATCATAGGTACCATGACATGGGGTAAATTGGGATTCTGGGGTAAATTGGGACAAACCTGCGGAAGATTCTCAAAGTACTTGTAGCACGGAATCTACCTAATTTTCTTTAAGGTAATATTTATCAATGTATAGAAGAAAAACCAAGTTAACTATGGAAGTACTAAATATGAGTTTAGTTGGTCCCAAAAATTCGTCAAATTAAATTTAAAATAGTGGTTGAAAAGTGCGTTTTAAAACAGCTTAAAAAACTTTTAAAAAAAGTAATATTATCGTTGTTTTTTCAATAAGATCACAGTTTACATAAGTTTTTAATACACCTGTAAATACCACAACAAACGGTAAGTTGCAATATTCTTATTTTTAATACAATATTTCGACAAAATAAAAAATGTATATTTTTTCCTTTCTTTTTGGGGAAAATTGGGACGTATGTAGGGTAATTTGGAACGAGACTGGAAAAATTAGGGACGAGAAAACACAAAATTGGAACGCCAAAAGACAAAATAGGGATGGCTTGTTAGGGTTGTCACTGATATCTTATAATAGATTTTTTAGCCTATANAACTGGTCCCGTGATAAGTTCGTAAAGAACTTGTGTTACAGGTACCAGATAACGGATATAAATGTAAGATTTTTATTATACACATACATATATTTAATATACATCCATAACCCTGGAAAAGACATTTATATTTATCATACAAATATCTTCCCTTGGCGGGATTCGAACCCGCGACCCCCTTGTGTAGTGACCATGCCACTTACCACTAGACCAGACGGCCGTTAGCTCATATTTGTATGGAATGTGATCGTTTGCGTACGTTTGCCGCTAGGGGCGCTGTTCCAATTACATACAAAATTGGCTTAGCTTTTACGCTATCGAGAACTTTAAGAAACTCGCACTAAGCACACTGCACTGCTATAGGACTATCTGTCCCAAATTTAAAGTCTATCGGATGAATAGTTTAAGGTAGCTGTAGAGCATAATGAGTGAGTGGTATTTCGCGTTTATATATTTAAAAGAAGAAATGAAACATGGGTTTAGAGAACCATACCGATATGATAGTGCTGATGATCTACTACCTATTCCTCAAACATTAAAGTTTCCGCAATCTTAAAATAAATTAGAGGATCTCTTATGAATGCGGCCCTCCGTTTGTAAGGGCTGGGTTAATTGCCCAAAACTTCATATACCTACCTTGTTACATTTTATGTCAAACGAAGTACCTACTTAATAAGTTGACATATTATGCTACCCATTCTTTGGAATTTATAATATAAAAACTATTTTTTCGGAATTATTAAGATGTTATTACTGGAAATGAACAGACCAGCTTAAAGTCCACTTGGTATTTAGTGGTTACCGGAGCCCATTGATATCACAACGTGAACAATGTCAGCAACCTTGAGTTTTGAGGTCAAAATTTCAAATGTATTTTGTATAACGACTATACCACCATTCAAGCCGGAAAGCATAACTAACAAATATACGACCAAATATTCATTACCACATATTTGAAGAACATTTAAACTTACGTAGGTAATGAAGAGGATATGACATACTGTATCCAAAGAGAATTTTATTACAGAGTAGAAAACTATGTGGTGTGATTTCGCGTGATGCGTGACAAGTCTAAACAACTTCCTACTTTTCACGCTGACATCCGGAACACTTCAACTGCAAAATCACTTAAGCTGGGTGACGACACAAAAATGATTTAGTACCAGCAGCAGTGTATATACATCGCTCAACATTCCTACTACACTGCTACTAAAGATGTCTTAAATAAACAGAAGCTTAGTTTTTCATATCACTTTCTAGCCATTTCTAAAATGTCTACAAAATACCATAAAAATTGCACGAAAGACCCAAATGAACTCGAAGATCCAACCCGAAAACAACCCGATGAACAACTAACCCGAAAATTGAAGCCATTAACTACAAAAGTAAGAAATTTACATGACGAACTTTTTGAATTCTAAGCGACTGATTTAAAAGATTCAGCATTCCTTAGCAGCCAATAATTGCAACGGAACTAGGTACACAATGTTATTAATGCACTATACAGCGGTCAGACACTTAGTTAATACACATAATATTGTCAGACAGACTGCAGGCGCTTTGTGAGCGTGGGTGCCTATGTAAATATCCTGAGATATATTAAAACTAAATAGCCAGTCAGGAATAAGGCAATAATATACCTTACTAACTGTTAAGTTTCGCCGTGGCTATAACCTCAAGTAGTTACAGTATTCTTTTAGATAATACATACTTAATATTTAAGAAATACATGCAGTCAAGTACAGCGGTAGGTATAAGCCGCGCCAATAAAGAAACGAATCGAAAATGGCATCTATACCCGCACTGACGGATGGTAGGGTCAACAAATAAAAAAAAAAGATAGAAAGGAAAAGTTGTTTATTGTAAAACTATATAAAAAAAAAAACAAATGAGAATGTACTTTACTTTGGTGCCCTGACAGAGGGGGAGATGTCTCATCTGGGATGCAACTTGCGTAGACACTTTTGCTGCCAGTCATCTAAGTCGCACAACTCGAAAGTGAAAAAACTCGAAATCAACAACAAAGTCAGAACTGATTTTTATTTGCATGCAGTACGCGCCGTGCGCGACTAAAGACAGCAATAGTTTAGTGAGAGCGCATGATCGCCGCCGCCATTTTAGATTCGTTTCTTTATTCGCGCGGCTCATACATAAATATGAGTTGCAGGCAATGAAGTAGGAAACCTATCTATGGTTGCAGGCGACACGTGGACCGGTGAAATGACATAAACAGTAATGTTTAGAATTCTTTGCTATGAGTGTTCTCATTAAATGCAAAACAGCAAACCAAACTGTAAAAATCGAAATTTTATTTGTAAATTTTAATATCCACAATGAATTTATGGTCTTAAAATTTTAAATCAATTATCATTTCAACCCCTTATTGAGGATCGTTTTGTACTTTTTTTAATTTAACTAACACGTCAAGTACTTTATATACTTCTAGATAACAAATGTATTCACATTTTACAGCCTTTATGCGATTGCAGCAGTTGCACCTGTAAAGATTGTCCAGATGTGTTAAAAACCTTTTCTATTAATGTTACTGAAGATTCCTGCGATTTTGGTACGAAAAAAGTTGAGCAAATTGACGAGAGCTCACATGAAGTGTCCATAAAAGACTGCCAAAGTTTGCTAGACGTGTTAAATAACACCCGAAACTGTACATGTGAAATAATTGCCAAAGTAGTGCGATCAAATGTTTATATACACAGGGGAAAACATAAAGTTTCTGATATCATAGATGAAACCAACGTAGCAAACGTATCGATTAAACCAGAGGAATAAAATTCAAAATACACTGAAGCAATTTTTATTTGAATTAACAAATACATACAATAAGTCAAAGAGAAAAAAACATTTCATTTTTTAAAAGTGAAACTAATGGTATTATTATTTTCGTTATGACGTTTCTCCATATTTATTTATGATTACAAATATAATAAAATAACGAATTATTCATCAATTATTAGATCGTTTGTTTTATTGTCATTACTAAGCTGTTCACTTTGGTATTTCTTGTATCTTTCACATAAATAATTCCAATATTTACTTCTAATTTTGTCGTATCTAGTGGCCAACGCCTGACATAACTCCACAGCCCTGTCTGCATTGTGGAAGCAGTTTGTATCTTTTTTTTTAATAGCATCCTCGCATACATCTATGATGAAGGCTAAAAGGAAAGGCGACCGACACTTATTCTTGTACAATTCTTCGCAAAACGATGTGATAACAGCGTTTCCACTAAGACCACGCTTATCATGTATAAGCAGCCCTCTCAAGTAATTCCACGCGCTCTCGTTATTTTTAACGAAATTAATTTTTTCCAAAGTGTAACACACTTCTTGCTGACAAATCAAATCCGACCAGCCTAAATTATTGTTCACTACAAAGTATCGCTGATTCCACGCTGAATTATTACGAACGTCGTCCGTGATCAGATTGTCGACGAAATCTAGTTCCTTTTCGTAAAGCCTGGAATTAAATTTACACATATATATATAGCATACATATATATATATATATATATAGCGGTAGGCAGCGGCTTGGCTCTGCCCCTGGCATTGCTGAAGTCCATGGGCAACGGTGACCACTCACCCTCAGGTGGGCCGTATGCTCGTCTGCCTACAAGGGCAATAAAAAAATAAATAAAAAAAAAATATACACTAGCAACCCGCCGTCAATTCGCTTCGGAAACATGAAATTTTATTATTGATAGCTGAGTCACGCGATGTTACCCGCGGTTATTGTCGCCTCGGGGCAAAGCTTGTCTAAAAAAGCCTAAGTTACTCTTTATATCATCAGCTACCTATCAGTGAAAGTCTCGTCAAAATCGGTCCAGCCGTTCCAGAGATTAGCGGGAACAAACAGACAGAGACAGACAGACAGACAAAAATTGTAAAAAATGTTATTTTGGTGTATATACCGTATATATATTCATATGCATGTAGTAAAAAGTGGTTATTTCAATTTTACAAACAGACACTCCAATTTTATTTATATGTATAGATGATGAATCATTAAACACGAAGCGAGTCACAACGTTAATTATTAAAATATTGTGTCTTGCAGACCTGAACAATGAGATAATACTATGCTCATTGGATATAAGAGCTTCGTAACCTGCAGTCAATAAAAACATTTAATATCGACATATCTTTTTATCACGACATATGGAAAAAAAATGTATGTAACCTAAAGCCGGTAATTAAGCCTTTAGCCAATATTTTATTTTTAAACAAACAGTGAACTGTTTATATGGTAACAATTTCCTGATCGTTGTTTGTATTGTGTTTTAAAGCCTTTATCTCATTAGTGTTTTGAGCCTGCATAGCCCCACGGGCAGGGAGCTTCCCATATACATACATACAAGCAATATGCCATACCACTTATCCATAATACTATAACATAAAAAATAACTAGGTAGATAAATAGATATGGATAGAGGATACTGATCAGTAATAACACTCTTTTACTTTTTTTGTTACCCTTGTAGGTAGCATACGGTCCACTTGATGGTGAGTAGTTATCGTCGGTTATGGATGTCAGTCAGTAATGCCAGGAACAGAGCCAAGCCGCTGCCTACCATTAAGTACTATCTGATGGCTTCGTTTGAAGGACATTTCATAGCACTCGGGAAACACCATAGAGGGGAGCTCATTCCATCCACATGGAGGTTCACCCCAAAATATACATATACCACTGAAGACAGGTTTATCAACCTGTATGACCTAATATATAGCCTATACTCTACAATCAGACCTCAGGTGTCAAGGTATGCACCTTGTGCCATTCATGTTGTGATGTCTATGGGCACCAGAAACCATTTAACAAGAAAGGGATTGTGAACTAACCGTACCATAGTCATGTATATAATGAAAAATATATATTGTTGGTTAAGAATTTCACCAACTCACCCAAATGTTTTGATAGCCCATTGCCTATGTTGCCAAGCATGATAGTTCTTTGGATCTTGTAGAAGTGCATCGCCTGTCAATTCAAGTTCCATTGTGGGATCTTGCAGCCATTCTACCAAAACCCTACGGTGGTGCCATACCTGAAAGCCATGTCAACCATGGAAAATGAAAAATTGAGCAATGAAAATGTTAGCCATGAAAAATTGTATGCTAATCTTTCACACATGTTAAGATATTACAATTAGTTCTTGCAGCAAACTTACAAATATTATATGTGTGATACTGTACATATAATATGCATACAAAAATTAACAGATGGAATAATTAAACAATCTCTGTAGAAATATTCGTAATATCTGACTTGCAAATACTCCAATGCATTAATATGATTTAGTAATCATTTAAACCTTTACTTCCAACAATGAAAGCCTACAATCATTAATATAATTGTTAAATAAGGTAGCCAAAAGCACATGTATCAACATTTCACATTAAGCAATAACATCTATTTTTCTGTGCTTATGTAACAGCGAAATATACTTTTTTAGACAATATGCAATATGTCACAGATAGCTAAGCTTCTTACCATTTTAATCATCTTTCAGTTTTTGGCGCAGATTTAATACCATGTATGTACCATGTATGTCATGAGAACATGCACACATCTTGTTCAATAAGAAACAGTTTTCTACGGTGATTATTTTATTTATTATGTAAAAATGTGTGATCTTACACTAGTCATTAAAATTAATAATAATTATACCTGATAATTCTTTGGTGAATTCTTTATAACCGCTTCAACATAATCTAATTCTGTTCTCAAGTCGGTGTTCAAATGTTTCAGCAAATCTCTCCTGTAAAACAAAATATCATGTATTATTACTTTATGTTGTAACTAAAACTTGCCACCGCACTTAGTTAATTTAATTAACCTTTAAATGGCTCTGAATAAAATTCTTCACTCTGAATAAAGATTAAACTTTGAAGGATTATTTGTTAATACAGTAATAATGTAAACAAAATAGAATTAATAAGAGAAACAGCATTGTAACAAAACCATTAAATATTTAAAACAAACTTATAATTTAATTTTTAATTCTTTCAAAATTGACGATAAAAATATGTTTTCTTTTTTTATTGCCTTTGTAGGCAGACGAGCATGCGGCCCACCTGGTGGAAAGTGATCACTGTCGCTCACGGGCGTCAGCAATGCCAGGGGGAGAGCCAAGCCGCTGCTTACCATTGCTCTCCGCAAGCCTCGTTTGAAAAACGACATGTCACAGCACTCGGAAAACACCATGGAGCAGAGTTCATTCCATATTGCATTCCAAATATAGTAATACAATACTGAATATTATCTATTTTATAGTAATAATATGTAAGTATATATATATATTCTTAGAATTGCTGCTTTGATTGATTCGTTTTTAGTTTTTCATAAGAACAATGAAAATTCTCGCATAACTTAACCTTTGTTGCAACCTTAATGTTTTTGGTGTCACCTTTTCTTAGAAGTATTATTAAGTGTATGAAAACCATATACACATGTCACTCAACTATCATGCTTCTCAACAATTGGACTTTAACCATGTAATTCAGTATCATAATAGCAATGAAATAATTTGCTGTGCCACAAGCAAATCACACTATATTGGTTAACCTTAATGTATGAAGATAAATAAATACCTGTATTGCCAAACAGTGTAGTTAGCTGGATTTAATTCCAAAGCATCCTTGGTAAGATGAAGTACTCGTTCTGACTTTTCATTACTTTGTAAAACTGCTCGGAAGTAATCATACACATCCTCAACTAAAATTGAAAAGTATTAATACATAAATGAACTTTAAATTAATCGATCTACTCTGTATACTCTTGGTAATGTACACTTATCTGTATGCATAAAACTTAAATCTGTTTTAGCAACAACAAACAATCAATTCAATTTTGATTAAGCTGGAAAGCCAAGTAATACTGGTAAAATTGGAAAGAATGTTGACATTAACATAAAGAGACGATATCAAGTGCTATCTAACTTGTCCACTCTTTAACTAGTCACACAGTGATCTCTATCGGTAAAATTGCAGGAACTGATGGAACTATACATTCATATTTGCGAAATATACATATATCTATCACATTCATGTATAATAAACTTAAATAAATTATTTAACCTTTGTGTATTGCATTAATTCTCAATACCATATGTCATGCCAACTATTACTGACTCAATAACCTTCGAATGCATTTATTCATTTTTATACTTTGAACTTGTTTGTTACGAAATAATAATGAAAAAAAACAGGCATTACACATACATTTTTCCGAATGAGCTATAACTACCACTGGGTTGGGACCGTCATCCTCTGGAACAGGCGTAACATCACTCCACTCCGGCCTTTCTTTGTATGGTATCCATAAAACATCACTGTCCCCGCAATCAGACATGCTGAGTGAATTCGTAAAATTAAACAAATGAAGCTTGTCTTCACGGTCTTCAATTTTCACTTATAGTAGTACTCTTATCAAACGTGACAAACACAGCTTTACGTGAGTAAACATGTGTACCAGTTATCTAGGCCAGAAACATTATGAATACGAAAGCGTATCTTTAGTATTTATTGACGTAATTTTAACTAATGCCCTGTTTATTGACTAGGTATTTACAAATTGAATTCATTTGACTTATGTTTACATTTAAATAGGTACCTACGTACGTGTCCACACTTTTTACAATTTACACAGACTATGTCAAATAACAATCAATAGTTAGGTATTTTTTTTACATTTACATCATAGGTAATAGGTTACATTAAGTACACATAATTTTTACATTTACATACAAGGTATTGTCGCTGAACACGCAAGTTTCAGTATATTATTTTTCTAAATTTGAAATGCGCCGTCTATTAAACATAAAGCTTAAACGACTATTAAAAAATACTGAATCCGCAAAATGCATGATATTACAGTGTTCATAAATAACAGAATCATTAGCTAATTAGTGAAATAACAATTTACAATAGTTTAAGGCTTAACTCGCAAAATTAAAATTTGTCTTAAGAATTCATCATGTAACGCACTTACAGTAAAATTAACCAAAGAGCTGTATCGGTAGGCAGCGGCTTTTCTCTGCCCCTGGCATTGCTGATCCATGGGCGACGGTAACCATTCACGATCAGGTGGGCCGTATGCTCGTCTGCCTACAAGGGCAATAAAAAAATGGACATTGGTTTTGGTTTTCGAAGTTAATGATAAAGTAATCTTGAGTGAAAAAGAAAGTCTAATGAAGCTTATTAAGATTTTTTTATTTTAAAACAGAGGATACATAACTGCTATTTTATAAAAACGTTGCTACACAAAAATCCAAGTTGCTTTCATCAAGTGACTTCCTGTTCATTCCCTTTTTGAATAAATATTTTTGGTCGTCCCATGCAGATACCTAAATATTTCGGCTACTATCCACAAAATAGAGGAATGACATTTTCAAAATAGGTGCAAAGGCTTCAAATTAGGAACCATGATAGGTGGCGTTTTATAGATTTTGCCATCATCACTGCTCTTTAAATTATACATTTACATATTTTATATTTACATTTTACCACAATAATACCATTTCTGGCCTTGCTTGCATTGTGGGATTAGTGGCCCGAAGTTCTTTTCAGCTTCACTAAGATGAAACGAACTCAAAGGCTCAGCCAAGTGTGTAGGTTTTCTTGACAACTACCAGAGGGCTTTGTGTTGGCAGCTGCTTTATGAGTGGATGTCCTCCTCCTCCTCCTTCAGTCGATCTTTCATTGCTGAGCATCGTGATGCGCTCGCCTGTGACCTTTTTTTGTAATTTGTAGCCACTTACCTATGTGGATGTACCAGGGAATCAAAATCCACTAAGATCCAGCGAAAAACTCAACGGATAGGTGCCATGGACTAAGTTGGCATGAACTCAGAGACATAAAAATAATAGTCATTTAATGTTGCGGCTTCGTTTTGTGCAATCATGTGCCGACTTTTAGTTATTGGACAAAACATATTATGTGTTCTATTACTGGCAAATTTGCTATAAATGTCGTTCTTTGTCGAGAGTCAAAGAGTAGCGTAAATAGGTACCAAGGTCTATGCTTCAAATGAAAATTATAATTTCTATCACAAATATATTTTTAAAAGCTTCAAAAATTTTATTTCAAACAAATACCTCTAGGCATCGATGCTTACGAAGGAAGCCACCAGTGGTAAGAGATTTTGAATTTTAAAATTATGTGCAACGTAGTATACCTAATAAGTATTGTCGATAGCTTATCTGTAGGTACCAGCCCAAAGGACCTACCACAAAAATACGCTTTCCCACACGAAGCTTTTATTTAAATCCTTTCCGGATTTAATGTTCACGTTAAACCGAAAAAAACTAGTCAACTTTTAATAACACACTTTTATTCAAGTAATTATGTAGGTAAATAAATAAAGTTAATAACTAACAGGTAACAAATAACGAGGAATCTTTCAATGCTTTATAAATAATATGATAAATTTCTTATTATAAGCGTATTTTCGGTTTTACCAGCCGTATGCAAAGCCAAGCCCGTTGGTATATGTCATATGGGAGACAGTTGGAGCTGCTGAATATGCTACCCCTAGGAGACCCCCTGTCGTAGCCACCTAAAAAATTAATTAACGTTAATATATCTATATGTCAAGGTGCCCAATATCTACCATCTAGTACCTACTATCCATGAAATATACCGGGCTCTTACAGTATTGTCTCTGAAGTTCCAGCAAACAAGCGGACGTCAGCTAAAGGATGTGACGGTAGCCACCACAGAACACAAGATATTTGATCGATGTCTGAATCTCATTAACGACAGTTTAAGATAAGTTCGCATTTAAACAAGCTCCAAATAATAAAATTCGAACTGTCGGTCTACAAAGCGATATCACCGACTGCGTAGAAGATCTATCATTTGATGTTAACCCCAAAAGGATAAGACATCCAGTATACTCGTATCGAACGATGCGAATATGTATATATGTTCATAAACTTTCACGAGGCAGGAATAACACACACACACACTGTGAAATTAAAAATCAAATCTGCCAAAAATATAACAGGCCCAATTCCTACACGTAAGGTATCCTGTTTCACCACCCCGCTCGATCTACCACAAAGCAGCCAGTAGTAATAAGTGACAGTCAGTGCCGCTGTGATATTCTTCTTTAAACGAGGTTTGAAAAGGTTATTTTTAGCTGTAGAGAATGACTTCAATATATCCCTGGGATTTTCATGATCACAAACAACAGTAGTCATTCTGACACCGTATGCTACGTCTGCCTACACTAGAGCGATTAAATATACTTAGTACTTACTTTAGCAACAGGTGCCGCAACTCCAACGTGGGACACATAAGGTGCTGCAAAGCTACTGTAAGCAGGAGCCACAGCTACACCGGGATTACTCACACGAATATCAGCCTTACGCACACTCGAGAAAGGTGTATCCACTGATTTACTGTATGTTGAAATCTGTTGAATTAACAAAAGTTTTGTGAGATTTATATTAAGCATTCTACCTGGTAAATGATCACGATAACATTTTGACTACTTTATCGCGTTTTAAAACGAAAATAAAACTGTAAATCTGCGATGGAGGGTAGTAGAGAGTGTCGGGCCCTATAAACCTTTCTTTAGGATTTCTCTTTACCTGTCCGAGGTTGAATGGTGACCTATATGTGTTCGAGTGTTGAGAGGCCAAGGCGGGTTGAGCCGGATATGAGCTGTACGGGTTCCAAGCGCCATAACTGTATGGTGCGCTGTACGCCGGAGCGATCAAACCTCCACCGTGTACAGCCGCCACGGCACCACACAAAAGTACAATCTAGAAATGAAAACATAAAATTATTTCTATCATTTCAAAATTAAATCCTTGAATAACTTGTTTTATTAATTCTTTCCATCCATCATTCACGCATTAATGTAATTTATTGCATAGATCGTAAATGAAATAGGCAAACATAATTTTATTCCTTGTTGCAGTGGATAGAACGCAAGTATATGAAATTATCATTGAGCATTATTTTTCAATTATTATCCTAATACTTACTTTTAGAATCATTTCGCGTTGAAGCTCTCGAATGTTCAGATGAGAAATGTACTACTACATCGGTTTGGTGGGCTTTTATACCGTATTTAGTTAGTCAACATATGTTTGTAAAGGGCCACATGTGATAAAGCGATTGTAACATGATTTGCGAGTAGTCATACCGGACAAGGTTCATTGTCCAATGCTTAGGCTTTGGAAACCTGACATGCGCCTAGATCCAGTTGTGGTTTTGCGAACAAGGACAGCACTTAGTTTCTTTCATTATAAAACCTTTACAATTATATTTAATTGTAAGTAGACTGTTGCTTATGACGACGGAAAGTATACATACATATGTAATAATCTTATTAATATTGTTATCAGCAGATCTGGCACCATAACCACCGCTAGATAAAAGATATGCCTTGAATTAAGAATCTCCATGTAAAGTTGGTAAATCGGTTGACTAATACTTACTTTAAAGTGAATATCGGTAAAAAGCTTTGATGTACATACATACATATAAAATAAAGCATACTCCATTCAAAAACGTTTTCGATATGATTGCGATAGTATGAATTAAGCTACAATGTATTTTGCTAAACGTAAACGAAAAATAATTTACATTCGAAGCATACAGACAGACGCATTCATTTATTTTATATTATCTTGTTACCTATGTTTAATTAGAAGTTTTCGAATCGCAGGTTAATCAAAAATTGTATTAATTTATTTTATAGACGTTTCAAGAAACCGACAGCCCTCCTGGTCGTCCTTACTGGAGCTTTTTTTTCCTACCTAAGCTTATAGCCTTGAGAGGCTATTTCAGCGTAACCTTAACTAGCAGGTGAGCTCACGGGGCTCAAACCTGACGACGTTGCTAACACGAACCCTAGCAAGAGCCGTGCTTCGCAGAATCTACCACCAGTTCGGAAACGCGACCCACTGAGAAGATCCGGCGAGAAACTCAGTAGGCTGTGTCTGTGGATTAATTTACTCGTCGAGCCCTTCGTCGCAAGCGACGGGTTCAACGAGAACGATGACCGATGCTTGAGGTACCTAAAAGCACCGTTAGTGGATCGGGAGGATCCGAAATGACGTTTTTGGGCGACGTCGACTGCTTTCCATTCTGTCTGCAGGATCGGGAATGTAGTTACCGGCGGCCACGATGAGAGGGTTCTCGTGTCGTGCCACTTTATCGAAGTGGCGGTTACTGGAGCCCATAGACATCATAACCTTGAGATTTGAGGTATATGCCTCAATTGTATAGTTATTCCGCAAATTTGACTTAGTTTTTTGAGGTACTTTTATTATACAATATTATTCCTTCATCGTGAAAGTCATTAGTGAGTACGTATTTAATTACGAAATTTCGTTCCTGCCTGTGGGATTTAACCACCAGCATAGTCGCATCAGTAGGTATATACAACAGTCGTCTTATCTTTTCGACCACGACGACTCCGAACTCGACCTAGCGTGTTTGTTTGCGAATTTGTAAAACCGCGCAAGTACTACACAAGTATTTTGTAACTAATATCTTTGTAAATGCAACCCTCAAAACTGGCGCGTTCATTGACATATACGCATCACATATACCTACCTACACAACATGCAAACTGGCTGAACCAATTGCAATTTAAAGACCATTAAGGCTTATTCAGGTAAATACCAGATTTTTTTCGCAGTCTTCGCCGGATTGATAATATTCTATTCTTCCTAATTTTCCAAATGGGGGAAAGATAAAAAATAATGAAATAAATAAGTATTTAAACGTTCTACAATCAACCACAGCTCACTAGGAATTACTCTTGTGCGTACCGAAAACAGAAAAAAGCAAAAGACCACACGGTAAACGACTACCAAATACATTTCAGGATATCGACTCTGACCGGGAATCGAATCCGGATGCCGTACCGTTGCCAGGGTCAACAATTAACCCAACGAGTCGATGCGATTTATATGTTCTCTTGTTCTTAAGCCAAACACCTACATACTACACTACACACCTACAAGAGACGCTAGCATGAGATTGCGCACGTAATAAACAATGAGTTACCTTATTAATACTTATCACAATATTAATTTATTAAGTTGAGCAAAATTAGATATAAATGTAAAGCATCAATAGGCAAAGAAAACAATTATGTTTTATGGCCTCATTTGCTTTTCGGTCGATTTTCCGGGTTTTTTATTTCGATAAATATGAAAATAAAGCTTAAACTTAGTTAGGTTTTTTTTCAAAATGTCAAAGATACAAAAGAAAATGCCGCACATAATATGGAGATAAACCATAAAGTGTCAGCAGTGTTTACAGTGGAATTTCAATGATTGAGCGAGCGCTTGTTATGAAATGTTTTAGCAGGTTCAAAATTCCCACAACCCAGATCAAATATAGCTAACAGTGAGTTGGTTTGTTACGTTTACGTTTAAGTTGAGAAGTTAATTTAAGTTTTGTCCAGAAAAGATTACGCGTATAATTGCTTTGTAATCTCGCACGTGTAGCACTGTAAGACAGGGCGCGGCAGCCTTGTCTTTAATCGAATTCTACATTGAAGCATGTGACCTAAACCTGTCAATCTAGTAATTCTAGTAGGTACTATACACACACAACAGATTATCACTAGAACCAATTGTAAAACAAAGTAATGCATGCACCACACCCTGCATTTTAGCAGTAAATCATTTATGGACACATAATTATCTGGTGTTGACTTTAATGAAATTAAATGGTTAAAGTTACTGATTTACTACCATACAAACGTGTAGCATTTTCTTTGGTTTTCGCGATTAGTAGAGAATTAAAACTATTTTTAAGAAAAAATCTCGCATCTATTGTGATTACAAAACTGTTGACGACCTACTTAATTGTGGTCGTCCGCGACGTGACCAGTTAATTAGTAATTCGAAACGCCAGAAATAATATTGTAAATAATATACCTAATGACAACGAAAACGCGAGAATGATCCGTAAAAGTAATTCTTAATTATACATATTTACAAATATTACTGTTTTCTTTATGCTTATGTCTGATACTCAATAGAAAGTCCTGTTTACTGGTTTTTTTATTTCTTTTTTATTGCTCTTGTAGGCAAAGGAGCATACAGCCCACCTGATGGTGAATGGTTACGGTCGCCCATGGACTTCAGCAATGCCAGGAGCAGAGCCAAGCTGCCGCCTACCATTAATTACTCTCTACAAGCCTGGTTTTAAGAAGGTTAAGTCATAGCGCTCGGGAAACACCGTGGCTCATTCCAAAGCCGGATGGTACGTGGCAAAAAAGATCTCTGGAAACGCACTGTGGATTAATGCAGTGGCTCCAGGTAGTATGGCTGAACTCTACTCCGCTGGCGGGCGGTGCGATGGTAAAAACGTGATGATGGTATCATCTCAAACAATTCCTCGGAGCACTCTACATGGAACATGCGGTACAAAATACAAAGGGAACTAAGTCCCTCCGCAGACCCAGAGGTTCCTAACGATCCGTGAGAATGGAATTATCGACGATCCGAACGGCCTTCTTCTGCATGGACTCAAATGGAAGAAGCTGGTATTTGGGAGCCCCGGCTCAGAGATAGGAGCAGTACTTCACGCGAGGCCGGACTTGTGCTTTATAAAGAAAAGTCTTTGTCCAGACGTGAAGTACCGCTTTGCTCTGTTGAGGACTCCCAGCATTTTGGACGCCAACTTGGCTTTGCCTTCCTAATGACTTCGAAGTTGGACATCGTTCCAAATGTCGGCCACAAGTATCCTGATACTCCCGTAAGGTTGCAGGGATACTCCTTGGAATTGCGGCGCCATGACGAAGGGGTCCTTCTTCGCAGTGAACGCGCAAATTTGTGTCTTCAACAGATCAGCTCACATGTGAGTAAGGTATACAAGAAGATCGCTAGCTGAGCGACCGTGACGGAAACCATACTGTCGGTCACTGATCAGCTGGCGATCCTCAAGATACTTCAGGAGTTGTGTTTTTATTATTCGCTCCATCACCTTGGAAAGCAAGGAAGCTATCGCGATAGGCCTATAGCTCGATGGGTCCGACCGGTCACCCTTCTTGGGGATAGGGTGGACGTGGGCGGTCTTCCATGAAGACGAAACCTTTGTTAGTGCAATAAGAGAGGCGATACAAACGCGTTAGCGCAAGTGACAGCTCAAGGGGGGTACCATTTTAGAAACATTGTGTGGATGCCGTCTGGCCCACTCGACTTATGATATTAAGCGTATTAAGCGATACTCCTTTAGGCAGGTACCAATTTTTGGGATTAAATCCTTAACATGTGTTCATTGAATAACTTTCTTTTTTTTTATTGCTTAGATGGGTGGACGAGCTCACAGCCCACCTGGTGCTAAGTGGTTACTGGAGCCCATAGACATCTACAACGTAAATGTGCTACACACCTTGAGATATAAGTTCTAAGGTATAGTTACAGTATACTCAGTATACTTCCACGGTGAACCACGGTTGTAAAATAAAAACTTTTGGTATACTTACGGATGGTAGCGTATATTGTAATCAAACACGAGTACCTACAGGTCACAATCCTATTTATTTATATTGTGAAGCTGTTCTGGCTTGAAAAGTGCATAATTGAAAATTCGACATCATATCTTAAAGTAACTGACGACGTCCACATTAAGAAGTCGATGGTCGATAATAAAAAACGCTAAAAGTATTAGCTGTAAACGCTAGTTTAAAAGAGAAGTGAGAGCTGGAACAAGTTAAATAGGACGAATCAAGAAACCAGAACGTTTTCTAGACATTAAATTACAGCGTCATGCTTTACCTCACAATGACCATGGTTGCATTCTCGGTGCATTATTGTAGAACGTCAGACATTTATAGAAAAGATAGAGATGTTTTTAATAAATAAAGAATTAGTCGTACTTGTGTTAACATTTATCATTGCCGATGGAAAACGTTGGTATACAGCTTCAACAAAAATATATCAAAAAATACAACACAAACCAAATCACACTGATAACATTGGCAGTATCGTACCGCAAATGTTATTAACCAGTAACCAAAGTGACATTAATTTTAATGAAAATGTATTTGAATTTAGAAAAAGATCTAATAGCATCGGGGCTATTCCGGGAATGGATTATTTGAAGTATTTTAATTCTACAAACGACTTGAAAAGAACACAATCTGGCAAGATCTCACGAAATCAAAATAAACGGTTTCTTGGTGTGTTTCAAATAGTAAAATTTATGCATGCGCCATGTAACTCCAGCAATGGTTTAACTGGAACGTGTGTGCCTCAACATGAATGTCAAACTATTGGAGGTACCGCTTTGGGGACCTGTGCAGACGGATACGGAATCTGTTGTGTGTGTGAGTGCCTAAACTATAATTTGTAAGTGCTTAGGTCTCATTTTTTCAGTAAGAAGTAAATAAGTAAGTACCTTAAGTAAGTTTTTACGAATAAAAAAAGAACTTAAGATGATAGAGCTTCGTAACTTTTGAAATGCAATACTTAAACTCACAGATGAAGTAAATTTTTTATTTAACGCGAATGAAACCGCGGTGCACAGTTTAAAAGTTAATTAGTACCTATAGTATAGGGGTTAGTACTCAACACATCATCACAATGAAAAAATCGTATCATGTAATAAAATACAAACAAGCCCGGAAAAATTACTGGTATTAGGGCGTTTTGTGAATCCGGATGGGTAGGTACAAAAAACCTACTTAGTTCTGTAGGTAAGCCGTCATGCGTTCCGGCTTGATGGAATTTAATGGCCGTTATACAATTACGACTTCAATCTCATATCTCATGGTGGTTGACAACACTCACCTAGTACTATCTATGGGCTCTGCTAACCACTTAACCCCAGGCGGTTCGTCAGGTCGTTCAACTATTTTTTCAACTAAAAAATCTATTAGCTTGCGTTGGTTGCAACCTAACTTGTAAGAGTACCTACTACGTTGATGTCCTGGTAACCTTAGAAAAACTGAAAACATTGTGATACGCCCGATCTCAATCTGCGGCTACTTGGTAACAGAACTACGGCGGTTATTATTCCTATTTGCATTACAGCTCAATTCCTGTGCGATGAGAATTCTGCTGCCGTGACAGGATGGTTTATTAACTCAGAGTTTCCATCTCCAAGTTATGAAAGACTATCGTGCACTTTCACCTTGCATAAATTTTCAGAAGATATTAAGCAAATTCGTCTAGATTTCCATAGTTTTGAAGTGAGTATGTTTCTTTAACTAACTAATTTGTTCTGTAAGATGTATATAAGTGTGAAAATCATTCTTCTGTTCCCATAGTACAGGGAATCCTGGTTAGAGTTCAGAAGACGGTGTGATTTATAATCCGATTGTTATTATTTTTGCTTCAGTTGCTACCTCCTTCAGGAGGAGTATGTCTAGAAGATCAGTTTGTAGTTTCTGGTCAGAATGCAAATGATTTTATACCGATCATTTGCGGTATCAACACGGGCAAGCATGGTATGTTAATCACGAACATTTGAATATGAAATATGTATTTACTTAAGACTTTTATTCCTTTAATATGCAGATGACTATGCCATCAATTAATTACGAAAATGATACCCATGAGCATTTAGTGGATTGTTCAATTATAAATTAAGAACAAACCTACATAACGAGTCCAAAAAATTCAATATGTCATAATGATAATCAAAAAGAATATGAAAGCATAAATAAAGCTTTTAACAAAATCATGAAATCATCTATCTATAACTAACTCGGTAGGCGTTTATTTAGTCAAGAATTTCTGGGTTAATGACGATTTCCAGACTAATGTTTAAAAAATACAATTAAGACTTCGACTTTAGATCACAAGTTCGGAGGCGACATTCGCATTGTGAGGCCGACCACGTGGACCGTGAGGCGGTTTACCCATTAACGCGATGAAAAAAATAACAATCACCGCAAAATTACAAATTTCAATTTGTTTATTTTTAAAATAGTAATTGGGTTTTGCATTGTTTAGTGTACATCGAAGTCGGTGAAGTGGACGGTCCTATTTTCCTTTCCATGCAAACGGTCTCACAAGAACGAAGACTCTTTTCTATAAAAGTAAGAGGGTACCTACATTTATTTAGAAAACAAATAAATAAAAAGCACGCTTCATAAATTATATTTCCAGAACAAGTTTTGCCACAGGCATATGTAGGCAGACAAGCTGCCAGCCGTTACCGATAGATAAATATTTCCACTTAATTTGTAGGTTTGAGCTATTATAATAAGGCGTATGGTAATCCCGCGTGAGGTTATTTATTGAATAAGCGTAGGGCCAGTAAAACATAGGCGATAGGCACTACCACCCTGTTTCCTTTTGCGAGAAAGCCATCATGCATTCCAGTTTGAAAAATGAATCAACCATTATAAGATACAATGAAGAACTGTAAAGTTGAGTGGTCGCACTGTATTGTCTACAACATTGGAAATACCTAATACAACCCTGGAGGATCGTGTTCTTGAGCTATTCAAACAATTAAAATATATTGTAGAAAATAAATCTAATTGTTGAAGCAAACATAAAACCGATAAAATTGTTAGGTATTTGAAATAACTTCGGGAAGAAATAATAGGTAAGATAAGGTTCGTGTGGCAGGGCAGCGTTTAAGCTACGTCCTGTTTCCTCGTTAGTAATTCTCTCAATATTTGAACATTATACCTAGTATGTGCCATGACTTAAGAGGGTCGAGACCAATACTTTCTTTAGTATTTTCCGCAGGTGACACAGCTGAGAGCCGGTGACGATCTCGCCGCTCCAACAGGTTGCCTGCAGTACTTCGAAGAAGCGGAAGGTTCATTTGAATCATTCAACTATCAAGATAAATCCGATATAGCAATATCAACAAGGCCGGGCTATTTCGTAGGTACCATTTAACAATTTTATCTGTAGCGATCTAATTTTGATTACACGTGACTAATAACCAATATTTCATTTACAGAACAACCTAAACTATGCAATTTGTATAAAGCGAGCTGCAAAAGCCTGCGGCATCACGTACACTAACGTCGGGGATATGCAAATTGTCAATTACGATACAGGCAAGTGCCGTTATATGCAATCATTATCAATTGTAAAGTCGCCAAATATGGTTTTATTTTATATGGTATAAGCATATTTTTACTGGTGGTAGGACCTCTTGTGAGTCCGCGTGGGTAGGTACCACCGCCCTGCCTATTTCTGCCGTGAAGCAGTAATGCGTTTCGGTTTGAAGGGTGGGACAGCCGTTGAACTATACTGAGATCTTAGAACTTATATCTCAAGGTGGGTGGCGCATTTACGTTGTAGATGTCCATAGGCTCCAGTAACCACTTAACACCAAGTGGGCTGTGAAATCGTCCACCCATCTAAGCAATAAAAAAAAATAGGTATATAAATATGTAACACTTAATTTTCAGATGGTCTACCGGTGATACCGCCTTATCAAGCTGGAGTGGAGATATTCGACTGCCCTAGCGATTGGCTATTAATTGCCGCTACAAGACTTTGCGGCGATCGTCTCAACGATGGTTCTGTGCTTCAAGACTTTTCCCTAAACGCTCCAGTGACAGGTTTACCAATCATTAGATTTGGATAATAATCATCGATGTGTTACTAAATAATTTAAAGCTTATATGTACGATTTAATCTTGGATACATTTTCTTCTTACAATTTCCGACACTACGATTAGGTACTGCTGCATGGTCAGTGACGATGTTATTTATCGAAATTATGACTGTAGCGTATCCTTAAATTAAAAAACATTTATCGATGTTTACGTTACTTTGCACACAAAAAAACTAACAATATCTTGAGATTTAACAGTTTTTTTAATACCAACGAAAACCAAACGAACTTGTGTAGGGGAAAGTGGGGGAATTGGGAACACTTAACTTCAAATGTTCAAAACTAATAGAAAAAAGTCATAAACATAATCAACTTTCATTGAAACGTAAGCTTTGCTTACCTATCTACTTATTGACAACAAAAAAATCTCCAAAATCAACGTTTTATTAAAAATATTAATAAACTAAAAAAAAATAGCGTTCCTTTTTACCCGATACCATATGGGGTAATTGGGATCGTCCCGCGGGGGAAATGGGAACGGTACGGGGTAAATAGGATCGACACAAATAAATCTCGATAATAACTACAAATTGTTTTATCAGCATATATCTCATATTAACCTTGACTAGTCTCGCCGGCAGTGCATTTTTCAGGTGCCCAGGGTTTATGTATATGGTACACATGATCCAATCTTCTCTCGGTGGTGACTCATATTTTTCGTTACACATTATGCAGTAAAACTCTTTTTTTTATTGCTCAGATGGGTGGACGAGCTCACAGCCCTCCTGGTGTTAAGTGGTTACTGGGGCCTATGGACATCTACAACGTAAATGCGCCACACATCTTGAGATATAAGTTCTAAGATCTCAATATAGTTACAACGGCTGCCCCACCCTTCAAACCGAAACGCATTACTGCTTCACGGCAGAAATAGGCAGGGCGGTGGTACCTACCCGCGCGGACTCACAAGAGGTCCTACCACCAGTAATTACGCAAATTATAATTTTGCGGGTTTCACTTTTATTACGCGATGTTGTTCCTTCACCGTGGAAGTCAATCGTGAACATTTGTTGAGTACCTACGTAATTCATTAAAAAATTGGTACCCGGGCCTGGGATTCGAACATAGATGCATCGCTCAACACGAATGCACGTCTTATCTCTTAGGCCACGACGACTTCAACTCCTCTTAGTTTTCATTTTCTAAAGCCTTCTTCAAATTTCTTACGACTTTACTCTTGATTTTTAGCTTTTTCTTTGTAGTATATTGCAAGATCTTCAATTTTGTATTTAGTTTCAGTCTTATGTACATAATTTCGAGACATTGCGGGTAATTAAGAACGCAAGGGGTAATTAGAAATGTTCCCAATTACCCGCATGATGCCGTTCCCAATTGCCCGAAGTAGTCGATATAAATCAAAATGGCCGCCATGCTCAGTAGAATTGTTGGCGAACTTCAAGTCGCGTAAGGTTTGAAAACATATAGTACGTACATGATAGTAACTAAATAGTGTGCCTTTTGAACTCAAAAATATTATAGTAACATCTATTGTAACACATGACAAAAATTACATCATAAACGTAATAAAAATTGTTTGATTTATCGTGACAGCATGCGTGCAGCCTTTCACTCTCACGCCTACGAACTGAAGGGTGCTGGAGGTATGCGTTGAAAAATATCGGGATGATCTAGTATAAGGGGAAGTAGTACTTTCCTAGGTGTTCCCAATTACCCGCCGTTCTCAATTCCCCCACTCTCCCCTACGCCACGCGGAGTAGTCAACTCCTCCCGTGGACATCGTCAATACAAATTTCAAATTTACAAAAGGTTCCCGCATTTTAGATAAGCCAAAACGTTGAAAATTAAAAAAAAAAAAATACGCCAATAATTTTATGTCGGTATCATCATCATTATCATAAATACTCAAAATCAAGAACCTGTTAGTTGTACGTTGGCATTGTAATAGATTTTACGTTTCAGACTGGTTAAGTTTCTGGTCACTAAGGTAATGTAATATTTGTAGAATAAGCGCTGGAAAGTATGTCACTGTCTGCTTCTTCAAAATAGCCCAAAAAGAGCTTCAAAAGACAAATGAAGACGCAGTCGGAAATATCTATGTAAAAATAATACCTAATTGAAGTCGATAGTTCTTAGTGAAAAATAAAATAATGAAGACTTTATAGACATGCCCGTTTGTGTTGTTTTCTTTTTATTTATAAAATGAGTTAGTTGAAAGGTCCATTAATTTTAAATCCCGATCCCTCTTAAGAAAGCATTTAGGCACTGCATGTAAAAAACTTTCAGAACCTTAGTACTTACTAACGTTATTATAATATTTACAGATACAAACGCCGGCCCCATAGTGATTTGGTTTAGGACGGACGCAGGGTATGTGGGTCGTGGTTTCAGTCTACAGTACAAACAAAAACCTTGTATGATTGATGCGTAGCTTATCAAAAATAAAAAAACCTGTAACTTCGTTTACAACTTTTTTTGTTTTATTTCGTGAAAATATTATGTTCAATTTAATCAATATTACATTATGTACGATAACTTTAAAATAAACTCAGGTGTCCTTGGTACGAGTTTTTTAACGTTCTCCTACGTTTGCCACTAGGAGCGCTGTTCCAACTGCATACAAATTTAAGTTAACTTTTACGCTATCGAGAACGTTAAAAAACTCGCACTAAGCGCACTGGAGTACTAGATACTTGGATACGATTTGTGTTGAATAAGTTAGCGAACGTATGTTTATTTTACTTTGAAGATCTTCAAATCAGACTAATAATTGGGCTAAAAGTGTTTAAAAGCTATTTTTAAATTGTTTTTCTTCATCTTTTTGATTCAATTTTTTTTTCTCCTACGAAAAATATTATACAACTAGTTTTCACCTGCGGTTACACTCGCAATTGTATAGGAAAATACTAGCCCCTGGAAATAGTACTTAGTACAAATAGGAAATACTGTCTACCAAATACTTTTCTGGGCTTTCATATATGTATATGCAAAATTTCGTAATAGCTGTATATGGTATATATATATGTTTAAGTTATTCTAATTGGTTGGTCCTAAATTTACTCCTTTTGTTTTTTTGTATGTAGAGTATTTTTAAATACTGTCCGATTTTTGTTTTTAGTACAAAGTAGTAACAGCATTTTGAGTAACTATGATTAATATAACAAAAATTACAGGATGTCCCAAAAAGGGCTTAAGCCAAATATAGCTGTAGTATCAAAAATGTAAAAATATAAAAAAGAAAAACTTCGTCATATCGGCAGCTTTTTATTGCTTGATATATATACCCTTTGTGGAACACCCTGTATAATATTAGCAATCCTTATGTATGTATGTGTGTACTTTTCCTTACTTCCTTTCCTCTTTCCTACATGTATTTTTTTCTTCTGGAATTAATTATTCATACATTTTTTCACATAAAATATATAATTATCTTAGAATTACACAGATAAATATTTATTTGTTTTTGCTATTGTTTTGCAACTTTAAGTTGTCTCGCACAATTTTATGAAATGACAATAGAACCCCTACCATAACTGCACGTAAAACTCCCATTGAAAACACTTGTAGTAAGATTTGACGTACATTATCAATTGAACCACCAAACAGTGTTGTTAACATTGATCCAGATGTAGTATACACGGAATACATTTTCCCATTCTGAAAAAAAAATACATTTATAGTTTACTTTAACTTATACTTTACTTAATAAATTTGTACCAAATGATCCAAATGATTGAAAACAAATTAAATTTATTGGTACTTTCATGATGTTTTGTCAATGAGGCTTTAAATTAAATGCCTCATTTGCTTCTGAGTTCATTTTTAATTTTATTGTAAACATTATACTAATCATTTTTCTAATGATGAAATTTTGAGATCAAACATTAAAATGTTTATATTATGTCTACAATCATTCCACAAGTTATATGCACTTATAGTGATTCAGTTATCTGTTATTCATGACTCACATAAGTGTAGATATGCAGGCAGGGAGATTAGTGGAAAAAGAATTCAATTAAAACAAAAATTTATTAATAAAATGTTTGAAGAATGTCAAACCAGTTTCTTAAAAACTAATTGGTTTTCAAAAGAAATTGTTTAATTTTTAGAATTTTTTTATGTTGGAATTATATATGCGGTCCAAGAGTTGAAAACCTGTGAAGATGATTTTTCTATTGTGTTCTGATTAAAATAATTTATGTGATTCCTTGCTAAATAACTTTTCCATAACCTGCAATTCACCATTCAGTCTTTTTATGTGATTACTGATGTGGATACTATACTATGTGTATCTACACAGAGTTACAGCCATAAGTACGAATTGTAAGCATATATCTAAAAAAAACCTTATAAGTAAATTTATTAATTTAGTCCTTAATACTTCTCATTAAAAAATAGAAGTTTTTTATTTAAAAGGTATAGAACAAAAAATATATCAATAAAACTAAAATATAAATCAATGAAATAGTTAACTTACCAATGCATCATCTATCATTTGCTTTCCAACTACATCTGGAGAAAGTAGACCAGCAGATCCCGATATAAGTTTGGTTTCTAAAGGCTTTGTAAGATCTTCATTCTTAAAACCCGGGGTGTCTGTATCAGGAGGATATGATATCATTACTCGGACACCAGTTCCAATTAACTCCATACTCAGGGCCTCAGCTAAACCTCGCACAGCCCATTTTCCAGCACTATATGCTGTGTATCCATAAATGCCTGCAATTTTTATTCAATTTCTGTTATGAATATAACCTTTTGTTTTATGAAATTACCTACATCTTTTCGCATAGTGAAAAAGTAATAAATTATTCGCTTCATTATTTTCTGTTTGTTTACATTTTCTAATAAAGTAGTTTACTTATAAATATGTTCCATCATTAATGCCAAATGAATGGTGTATCAACGGTCATTAACTTTTGGGGGTTTACCTCAAATTTATGACATTACATTAAAAAATAAAAGCCGCACATAATTAATAGATGGTTGTGAGCCCACTGGAAAACTAGCATCTAACTAGCAACTAACATCTGAGTTTACTCTTTTTTCACATAATTTTTTATTTCTTGTATTTCAGTTTGGAATAAATAGGAAAATTAAAAAATTAACCCAACATCATAATATGTGTTCTTGATGACATTGCATAATTTTATTTAAAGTGCATAATTACATCTTAAATTCACTAAAATCTTTAAGTACAATTTTTCAACAAGCCCTTCAATGTGACTCTTAACTTATGCTTGGTGAAAGCATCTGAGTACATTACTCTAGGTAAAAATGTTAAAAGATATATTATATAAAAAATATAATTATAGTACATTAATATATTATATTATATACTTTATTTATGTACCATTTACTTTGGGATTATCAATTCGAAAAGTATTCTGAATATCCGATTGTATATCTCTATTATAAAGAAACAGGTAGGAAAATAATGTTAATCACACTGAGAAAGACTATGTTACCTAAATGAGTAAAACTGTAAATGATTTACCTATTAAAGCTGCTTCTGAACATACAAATACGATCAATCCTTCTTTTTTTTTCTTCATGCCCGGCAAAACACATTTTGTCATATAAGCACTGCCAAAATAATTCAAGTCAATCATCTGTTTTATATCATCTACCTTCATTTGTTCAAATTTACCACATATACACATGCCGGCGCAGTTTACCAACATAAATATTGGTCCTACATTGTCCTCTAATGAATTTATCGCTTTTTCTATAACGAAATAGTCAGATGTAACATCCAGAACTGCATATTGAATGGATTGAACAGACTTATCTAAACACTGTGAAGTTATTTCTTCAACAGCTGACTTAAGTTTATTTTCGTCTCGACCGATGATAGAGACATGAGCTCCACGCCTTGCAGCTTCAATAGCAGCGGATTTTCCAATTCCACTAGATCCACCGGTAATTAGAACATGTTTATTCAACAAGTCCTTGTAAATAACTTTTTTTTCTATCGTTAAATATAAAACTAATGATAAGACGAGTACTAAAAATGTTATTAAAATTCCAACTGTTAGCAACATTTTACGATAATTTCCCTTACAAATAACTTCAAGCACTTTATATCTACTCAAATTATAAGGCTATATTTTTGAGCTTCGTTTCTATCACAGATATTACCTTTTTTTCTTTAGTTTTTGGCTCTGGCACAGTTTGTGCATTAGCCAACGTCAAGATCAAGTATTAAGATATTTAGTTAGTAGGTATTATAATTTTTACATAGTTACTGTTGTAGATACGTTTTATTTTTACAGTTTATGAATAATAAAAAACGAAGGAAACTTAATAAATTGTCATGAAATTAAATAAAATGAGATGTGATGAAATGGAATGAAATATAATCTCAGTAAAATGGTGGTCATATAATGAGACTTTTTCAGTGAACTTTTAGGAGGATCCCGAGAAGTCATATCAGCGGCTTTGTTTAATTTTCTCCCATTTGTGTACTTTCACAGGTACTAAACAGTTAACAAACCATTGTTATTACATATTTAAACCCGAAGAAACACAAAATAGACAAAATAAAACAAATCAAACAACTTCACTCCTCGCGTTACCCCAAAAAGTCGGTATTACACTTTCTACAAGTTAAAACATTAACACACGCTCCAAATTGGTTCGAAAAATCCGCAGATTAGTATAATAGTTGCTACGTAACAAATCACCAATTTGATTTGCTACTAAACCAAATATGTGAGTAGAAGTAGAAGAAGTAGAAGGATATGTTTTTTTTTTTCAAACCATTATTGGTTGTGATCCTGTCTTTAACTAAATTCAATAAATCTTCAAAGATTACGCGTTTCATTCGAGATATATTTTAAAATCATCTTTAACTAAAATTCTTATCTACTTAGTGTGATTAAATTCGCGGTACCCTTTGAAATACAGTTTGGTCCTTTCTCCCTGCTTTTTACATGGTGGTTGTAACGCCGCTACTACCTTAATTGTTTTGTTCAGTGACTTAATTAAAACGTAGTGATTATATACTCTTTGGACATATTGACAACCGTGTGCACTTTAAAGATGTATACCGTACCGTAAAATGGGGCGATTAGGGACAAATTCCAACTTTATGAGCAATTTTAAGGTAGTTGTTGATGTTTAAAATGCTATATCAGGATCAAAATGATTGAGTCTTGGGGGCATCTTTGTTGTCTAATTTAAAATTATGCAACTAGCATTCCAGTTTAAGCAAAAAATGCAAAAATAGGTGTAATCCCTATTTACCCGAAAATTGCGGTTAATTGGGACGAAATGAGAAATTTGCTAGGGTTGGCACTACTTTTATTTTTATATATAGTTTTAATTTATTTATTTATTTAGTTGCACCAACAAAGTGATCATCAATAAAAAAAATTGAAAAACTGACAAAAGTACATGGCAGACATCACCTCAATTATAGGTGCAATCGACAGTGCTGATATTTCTATCTGGGTTAAGAGATTAGGTGTGTCGGTTATTCCATGGATTAATCAGATGAATACCCCCACTCTGAACAAATATTAAATATTTTATTATGTATTACTTAGACATTTTTGTCCACCTTGAGATTTCATTGATCTTGTTACATGTCTCTGCAAAATCGACTTACTTATATTAAATTGCTTATCTATTTCAACTAAAGACTTATTCCCAATTTCGCTTCGAATAAACCAGATTTTTACCAACAAATTTAAAAAATATTGTTATAACTACATAGACAACCCTACAAACCTGTACCTATTTATACTTAGGTCGTTTCCATTTCACGTATTCTCATCCCAATTGACCCCTTTTTCGTTGTTATTTGTACCTAAGACGTCCCCAATATCCCCAAAAACAACAGATTTTTACATGTATTTTTATTTAATCAAATACATTAAAACCAATAACAACTGAGACTTACCTTTAATATATATGCTGGTTCAAACACTAAATAACGTTTATAAATCATAGTCGTCTTCTATTATTATCAAATAAATAAAAGAGAGCAAAGTTTCTAGCACTAAAATAATTACCACCACAGGAAGTTAATTTGAAACGCGATTTTTTATAAGTTAGCAGCTATTATCATGCATATTCAGATTTGTTTTGTGAACTTTCAACATTCTACTATTAAACTACAAAAAAATGGAAGATTTTGCAACGAATATAAAACTTATAATGAGCGTCGAAAGATTTTCCCGGTTTTTTCCCGATTCGCCTTTCAATCCCTAATCGCCCCATTTTACCGGTATGTGAAATGACTGTCCGATCCGGTCGTCTAGTGGTCTGGAGCGATTTGGTAACCAAATTTAGTGTGCCAGACTAAAATGGAGCGTGTGTAATATACTTTTAAATCTTCAAACCATAGAGTGACAGAAGAGTACAATTATATAGGTATTACACATAAATTACCTACATAGCACTAACGCAATTTCAATTAAATCGAAAGTCGCGATTTTCCCAGTAAAAAAATCGATGTTGAAATCGATCCATGTCGTTTCTAAAGAATAGTTTCACCAAAAACGATCTCGATTCGTATGAGCTTTCATTGTATTTCAATGAACAAATGCTATCTCTGTGAACACTCGCAAATTTACAATAAACGGAAAGGATTGTTCTGAAATCCCTCAGGCAGAGCATTCTTTCTTCGAACAGAACTAGCACACTTAAATAATTATATTTCAATGCCATGGCCACAGTAGCTAGGTAGCCACGCTTTTGCTCTTCGGATAACAATTGGGTTTCCTAAATTAATTTTAAGCTAGTTAATAGTGTAACCATTCTATACTAAACTAAATTAATCGATTCTTCGATAAACAGATCTCAGATCGCCACTCTACTTTTCTTCTGATTCAATTCAATCAATACGTTTTATCAGAATTTTATTTACCATATTTATTACAACGGGAATAAATAAGATTTACAACTACTACGTAAACATTCATTGTGATCAATGTTAGTTAGAACTCAAATATTAAACCATCTCCTGTATAACATTACCGAATTATTACGAAAAACGTGATATTTATTAAAAATGAATTATGAGACAAACAGACTCAATACGTTCACAAACTGGCCTGCTTTGGCTCCAGTGGATCCCATCAGAATAGCGAAGGCTGGTTTTTTCTACACTGGCCAAGGAATGGAAGTGCAATGTTTTAGTTGTGGTGGTAAAATTTCCGAGTGGAATTACGGAGATCAAGTTATGTGGCGACATCGTAGGATGGAGCCAAATTGTACGTTTGTTGTGAATTCACAACTATCGGGTAATGTACCGATGGTATTAGGCCCTGAATGTCCTTCGACGGATGAGCTAGCCAGGTCTTGGTCGACTACAGATGATCAAAGTGATTTAGTTGAATCTACTGGAGACTATGGTGTTACTGAAGAAGATGAAATGTATAGGAGCGAAGCTTTGCGACTTCTTTCATTTAGTCATTGGGAGGTGAGTAAGCTACTTTATTATTCTTGAAATATGTTTTGAGTAACGGCACGGAGCCGGTCTGTATAAAACATGCTGAAGCTTTCTGTAACATACTCCACACAGACTATATGGTAAACAGTTTCCATTAATTTTAATTGATTGTCTCATACCCTTAATTTTGCTGCTTAATATTGACTATGAAATTCAGTGAATGGATATTTCTGGAATGGAAATGGATATTTCATTTATTTTCAAAATATTCAGAAATCTGTTGCTATTAATGAACAAAAGTAGCAGTAGTGTTCAATCCTGGCCAACTCGAACAGTTATTGTCACTATCCTAGTTTTTTTGTATTTTGTTTTTATTACATAGGTCTTGAGAGCCTGCCTAGGTAGGTACCACCCTGACCAGGAATGTATTTAGATTTGACGGGCAGGATAGCCATTACTTATACTATATAATTAAGAGACCTCATCTCTCAATGTATGTGGTGGCAGTCTCTTCTTATAATCACTTTACGTCAGGTGGCTAAGTGCCTGTTGACACATTTAACAGTGAAAAATATAACAGACTAGCCACTTTAACTAGCTTTTGATGTACATTAAATGAAAAAAATAGGGTTTTAAAATTTAGATTGAATAAAGCCTTCAATTTTTAGGATGATTCTGTATCTCGTGAAGCTCTCGTAAGTGCTGGTTTCTATCACATAGGCGGTGGACGTCTACGATGCGCTTGGTGTGGGGGAGAGTTAGCTCCGTTCAGACGATTCGGATCATTGGGTCGGCCACTTGAAGTCCATAGAATGTAAGTTTATTTTACTACTGTGCTAAAAAAAGAGTAACCTCAAAAAAATGTTTTATTTCCTTTTGTAAATTTGTTTTTCTGTTACAAATGTAAATCTATTACAATTTCATTAATTTCGTCGGCTTATTGCAAGAACTCATTAACTGCAAAAAGTCACTAAATGCGTTTTTATGTATAATGGGCTAATTTTTGCATATTCTACAAAATGCAAAAACACACAAATTTCTAGCTGGCCAATTTTAGCCGTTACGTCTTTGGTAGAAAATTTATAATTGCAACTTTGGAAGTCAGGCATTTACAAAGATTCACTAAGCAGCACTAGTTATTTTTATTAAATGGATAATTATTTGAAAACAGCATACATTACATTACAGAACTCATTTTCAGCATCTAATTAATTTTATCAAAACAGTGTAGTATAATATAGCTTAAAATTGCATTTCGATAAAATTCATTATTTACATTTANTTTATTTCAATAAGGTTTGATAAGTATTTTGTTGTTTTATTTTAATTTAAGAAATAATTAATTCACATATAAAACCGACTTACATTAGCAAGAAGTCATTAACTTTTAGTTTTAGTTTATAAATAATATATAATGTTATATGACTACCGACTCTCACTTGTTTTAATTAATATACATATTAAGCAATCCAAAACATTCAATTTTTCTCACTGTAATTATGTATGAAGGATAATATGGGCTAATCAACATAACCACTAACTAATTCCAACTAAAATGCCGTTTTCCCAAAATAATGAATATGTCACTTAATGACTTCTTGCAATAAGCCGACGATTTATTCCAAATTTAGAGAATTAGTTCTAAATTTTAAGTTATAAATACAATTGAATCAACATGGAAAAAAAAACTATTTATTTCTGATTAAAAAAAATTATAGTAATTTTCTTAATAATCATCAAGATGTTAGGAGTGCTAAAATTAAATAACTTTGAATGATTCTTAATAATTCACTGGTAACCCTATCTTGTTTTGGAAGGTACTTCCCCCGATGCGCCCACGCTGCTGCACTTGAATCGGCACAACAGCCCTTTACTTTACCGACAGTTATGTCGTCACCGTCAGACACGCCCCCAATACAGTCACCACCAGAGACAGGCAATGATTCACAATCACAGTCGTAAGTAATTCAACTATACACACTTTATCATAGTGGAATTCACCACTGAATTCATCAGCACTAAAACTCAGCCAAACTATTGGCACAGATGATATTACTTGTAGTAATCATCCAGTTTTTCAACCTGCGAATGTGAAAAAAATGGGATAGTCAGTTGTTTTGAACAAAAAATCCCGAATTGAAAATTTTGTAAAAACTGAACAGAAGCATTTTTTATTGACCATAATATCCAGTTCAAATTGCGAAATTATTACTCTATTCCAAATACGAAGTCCCTTTTGACACTTCTTAAAATGTAACTCTTCACGTTTCACATAATTTGAAATAATAAAAATTTTTTGTTCATGGTTGTAAATCATCAATAAAAAAATTTACAATCAATCTAAATAATTATACAATTAATTCACACACACAATCAACATAATATTGTTTTTAGACATAGTGCTCAAACTAATTAAATCTTTAAAAGATAATAATATTTTACTGCAGTTTCGCAATTACGTTTTTTTCTTTTCTTTCTTTACGTTTTCTTTTTGCGTACTTTACTAGTACTGGATTATTAACATTTAAAAATAGTAAATTTTTATTACATATTATATTTACATTATTATAATTTTTTTTATTACATAATTAAAATTAATATATTTTTTTCAATGTTGTGATTCGAAATTCGTTATAATATTACATCGGACTGAATTAAAAGAGATTGAGATGAACATAGATATGTGTGTAGCCACGACGATCAGTGGATAATAATATAAGCATTCAACACAAAATACATATTATATAGTTTCTATTAACATTCCCGTCATTTCTACTTTTACGAATCTTTCGTGACATTCTTTATTAACATTATTAAATCTGAGAGTTTTAAGTGGTAGGCTTGTGGAGGGTATTAAATGGTAGGCAGCGGCTTGGCTCTGTCCCTGGAATTGCTGAGGTCCATGAGCGACGGTAACTACTTACCATCAGGTGGGCCGTATGCGAATATGCGTGCACGAGCAATAAAAATAAAAACTATCTGACCTTTGCAAATACAATCACTGAACTATGCTGATTCAATTGATCCTTGAATACATATTTCATATCATGCTACTTGTTTCGTACACAATTGAGCGCAACGTTATTGAATAAATAATTTAAACACCATAAAAGTATACATCTAATAACATGTCTGATATATTTACTAGGTCAGAGCAATACGGAAGTAGGTTGTTCTGTGTGTGCATTGTCTCACCTTGGTAACGATGGAAACAGTAATCATTGATCGTAACCATTACAGCTTTAGTTGTAGAACTTGTCAGTTGACTGTTTACTAGTGAAGAAAACCTACTAATAGATTTTAGTAAGATTTATACTAACTGTATTAAAAAAAATTGTTTTTATTGTTTATTTGTTTATTCCTTGAAAACTCTTTGGCTGTGACTGTCAGACATAATGCGTATTGGTAATGTGGAGTGTTTGTTTTCAAAGTGAATCGATGTTTTCGTTATGATCTCCTGTAGGTTTTCAGACGAATATCAACGATTGTCTGTATTTAAAATCGAGTGTGAGCAGTGATTATTGTATTATAGTGCGGGAGCTGCCCACAACGAGCGACTCCTGAACATGGGCGGTACTTGGCGTACGTTAGGTGTAGTCAGCGGCGGAGCTAGATACCCTCAATACGCGTCACTGGCGTCACGACTGGCGACCTTCGACTCTTGGCCAACCGACAAGCAGCAAACGCCTAAAGATCTATCAGAAGCAGGATTCTTTCACACCGGAACTGATGATCAGGTGAATAGACAGATCGATATGCACCTATCATACCAACTTAGCATTTAGTATTTTGTTAATAATAAGCAAGGAAATTTGTATCAATCTAAAATGAATGTTAATGGTTTTCAGTTGTGAAGTCTTAAAGGACAAAAACATTTAGAAAACCACACTATTTTCAGTGACACTGTCTTATAATAGAGCCCGGTAGTAAGAATTATATAAGCTACTAGCCGTACTCGTCCGCTTCGCTGGGCATTTAAAATTAACATTATTATTTATTGTCATTATTATTAGCAAGTCCAACACTCATATAAATATTAACCTATCCATTAAGTAAATGTATTTTCTACATGGATACTAAGTTTCAAGTCAATCGGATGCATGGTTCAGTAGTTATAACGGAACATCCGTAAAAAACACTAGATTTATATATTAGTATAGATAATTAATTACACTACATAAATAAATTGAAGGTTTGACTTTTATACTTTTTGTCGAAAAAAATGTGAACAAATCGTACTTACTACTCTTAATATTATAGCCCGTATGAATACAGCTTTTCAGATTCAATTAGGTCTAAATTTAAAACTGCTTTTATGGTTTAATCCCGTGTTTACTGATTTTTTATTTTGTAATTTCTAAATACGGTATCGGCTTAACTCTGCCCTTGGCATTGCTGACGTCCATGAGCGACGGTAACCACTCACCATCAGGTGGGCCGTATGATCGTCTGTCTACCAGGGCAATAAAAATAAATATTATGTATACGATTCGCGAAAGTCGTATAATATATGTTACGGTAAAAGTAGTTTTTATGACAAATGTATACATTTTCCAGTAAATATGCACATTTGCCTCCTCGTTTGGGTAATGTGCATTCAACTAACATTTACAATTTCAAAGAAGGGAAATGTACATTGAATTCACAATGACCATGTCGTTTTGGTAAATGTGAGCATGGCATACAAAATACGAAATCGTATTTGTAAATAACATCTTTTAATTAAAATAATTTTTGTTTTTAAAGCCTTTTGTATTATGTTTATTTAAATAAATATTTTTTGTTACTGCAACAACATTATTAATTTATTTGTATTTACTGTAACTTTTCTTAAAACATGAAGGTGAGAGTATACATTTACCAAAACGTGAAGGCAAGAGTACACATTTGTAGGAAATGTACATAATATATATAAATTATATTCAGTTCACATATACCTAACTTTTTGGCAAATGTGCACTTTTACTGGTGAAAGTGTACATTTCCCAAGAGTGTACATTTACCGTAACATATCGACGCTTGAAAGGCTAACGTGACTAAGCGACAATGCGTGAACTTTACAGTAGACTAATTTAAAGTTGAAATACCTGAAAAAAAATCTATTTTAACGAATCTAGCTGTAGGATTGAAATGATTTTAATAGACCTAGAAATATATATTTTTTGCGCATCGAATATGGTTATTGCCTATCATTTATGTACAAAGCAGTTATTGTCGCTTAGTCACGTTTGCCTTTCAAGCGTCGATATACATTATATTCGGTTCACATATACCTAACTTTGGCAAATGTGCACATTCACTGGTAAAAGTGTACATTTCCCAAGAGTGTACATTTACCGTAACATATTACATTTACCGTAACATATACATTACCGCTCTTATGTTTCGTTCGGTGTGATTATTATTAATGAAATGATTCGTAGGTTCGCTGTTTCTACTGTGACGGTGGGCTCGGCAAGTGGGAGGCTGGCGACGCGCCGTGGACGGAGCACGCGCGCTGGTTCCCGCACTGCGGGTACGTGCTGCTCCTCAAGGGAAACGAATTCGTCGATGAGTGCCGAAACGACAATAATCGGAGAAATGTAAGTATTACTGGTGGATTACTGGTGGTAGGACCTCTTGTGAGTCCGCGCGGGTAGGTACCACCACCCCGCCTATTTCTGCCGTGAAGCAGTAATGCGTTTCGGTTTGAGAGGTGGGGCAGCCGTTGTAACTATACTTGAGACCTTAGAACTTATATTTCAAGGTGGGTGGCGCATTTACGTTGTAGTTGTCTATGGGCTCCAGGAACCACTTAACACCAGGTGGGCTGTGAGATCGTCCACCCATCTAAGCAATAAATAAAAACTGTTATGTGTCTATAGCTTTAATATTTATCTATAGATTTCAATTAATATAGTTTTTAAAAATACACCTTCATATAAAATTTTATTAATTACATTGTGGCAAGTAGCCGTCATAAACGCAAGATATTTGACAGAATCTCGCTTACGACATTTTCAAGATAAGCTTGCATATATACAACTTAACAATATCAGGACCGTCGGTCTACCGAGCAATATCACTAGCTCAGTGGAAAATCTTCCTTTCGTCTTTATATCTACATACACTAATGATAAGTTCTTCACTCTTAAAGACCATTCTAGATTTTTAACTCACACATTATGAAAGGGGTTTTTTATTGCTCTTGTGACGTGTATACGACCTGATCAGCTGACGGTGAGTGGTTACCGTTGATCATAGACGTGAGTAAGGCCAGGGGCAGAGCCAAGCCGCTGCCTACCGTTTAATACTCTCCACAAGCGTCGTTTGAAGAAGGATAAGTCGTTGCGGTCGGGAAACACCGTACAGGGAAGCGCATTCCAAAGCCGGACGGTACGTGGCAAAAAAGATCTCTGGAAGCAGGGCTGGCAGACAGAGCTGGAAGAAGGAAGGGTTGTTGTTCACGTAATTCGCATATTATTCTTAAAATTCTATAATACCAAAGAAAAAAAGTTTCTGATTAGGTATGTAATTCGAAAATTTATGTTTAATATTTATTTTAAATATTCGAATTCAATTTATGTTTCGTTATCCAGTTGATGTATGAGGAAAAATTAATTATACGGCTACGAAGTATTGAAGTATGAAATATTTATTAAATTTATTTAATTTTCACAGAATTCACGAGAAACTGGTGTTAGTTCGAGACGAAGAAATCCGGGCGTCAACTACCCGGTGACCGAGATTGAAGTGAGTTGAGTTAAATACGTGTACGTGTGCCGGTCGGCTTACACGCGCCTCATTAACCCTTAGAACCGCGAACCGTCGATAGATCGACTTTGTATTACTGCGTATAGAGTGCGAAGCACCGGAATACCGGTAGAAATTGCGGAGGAATTTAGAATATTGCGGTAGAATCTAGAATATTGCCGTAGAATTTAGAATATTTCGGCAGAATTTAGAATATTGCCGTAGAACTTAGAATATTGCGGTAGAACTTAGAATATTGCAGAAGCTTACTTCTAGTAACTAAACGTGGCAGTGGTATTTTTCCAGCACTAGAAAAAGAGCTCATTCAGAAAACATTGCTATTTTACAACAGAGGCACTTATTTGTGTTGGTAGAATTACGATACATATTGTCCACGTGGAGCCACAGCATACCCTTGAACTAGTATCTCGTTAAACCAATTTCTTCTAAATCACTGTAAGTATGGTAAGGAATGATTGAATGGTCAAATATGAAATAATACTCACGTCCTCACCTTACACCAAACTCGGATTCGTTAGCTAAATGTTTTCAAATCTCTTTAATATCCGTAGCTCGTTCTGTGTGAAACGAGACGTGAAAACTTAGAAAGATAAAATAATTTACAGAAAAATCGGCGGTAGTTAGCACAACATTCAAATATCGACAAATAATGTCTCAATCGAAAACTAAAATATTCGAAACTTCTGAAATAATATAATAATAGTAATGAAAAACGCGAAATTAAATCTTCAAAGTAGATTTAATTATATCTACGACTAACGAATACTTCAGTATTAGATAATACTAGATACAGATAGATGATAGACAGATAATACTGTGCCCTTAATAACATAGAAATAGAATCAGATATTAAGTCCTACGCAAGAATACAAATAAATATGCAATATATTACGTGACCGTCTCATGTATCTCGAATAACAAACACGCAATCGAATTCCAAGGAAAAATAGTTCAATGACAATAAGTAATTGTTCATCAATCGATTTGTTTATGTTTGGAGACTTCGAGTTCCAATGTCCTCGTTTGGAACTTGTATCCAGAACATTGTTTTAATACTAAATCAGAAACAACCCGTGGCTACTTACTGCTTACTAGAGTCTGTAGATAAAAATAATAATGTTCATTATCGTCTTGTAGTTTCTCCTGACCACTATTCTGAATGGTTAACACTATGTATTATGTTCAACATAAATACATAAAATATGGTATGAAAATGGTTCCCAATGAAAGTATAATTTATTTCAACTATAACGTCACAGTAAAAATAATACGATTTAACTTCACGACTATTAGATACTTCATTTATTCATAATTCCTAGAAAACAGGGAAGTAATTGAATAAAGAAAAGTAATATCGTCAAGATTTAAAAATAATAATAATAATTGGCGTTTGACGACCTATATTCAAACCCAGTCCGAGAGTAACTAGAATATAGCCCCTTAGCCTTAGGCTACCGATGTTTGCGTAGGAAAAAAATATTCAAATGTCGACTTATATTAGTTCAGTTCGTCTTTTTTTTATTTGTACCTCTGCTGATAGCCTTGAGAGGCTATATCAGTGTTACCCTAGCATGTAGGTGAGCTCTCAGGTCTCAAACCGGAGTGTTGCTAACACTGGCCCTAGCAAGAGCAGTGCTTCGCAGAATCTACCAACGAATCGGAAACGCGACCGCAGTTCGTCTATAGACAAGATAATATATTCGGAACGTTGAAAACAATAAAATGAAAGTAATAAACTCGAAATTAAACCTTAAAATTACATAACTTTAATTATAAAACTTTTTTCATTGACAATTTGAAAAAAAAAATGTGTGGTGTTGTGGGACACCGGATAGGAACGAAGTTCCTTATTATAACAATATTAATTATAAGTTCTATTCGAGGTATAAAGAAAATAAAACTGGAGGTTTCGCAACAACCCGCGATCATTCGGTACGTATGTAACGAACTTATAGTACACTTCATTCACGGTTGTTTGTATAAGAGTTAGTGTATTGGGCAAACGAACGCTCTGAGATCGTGGTCAATGAATGATAAAAAAATATGTTATTTTTTGTACGTTATTACAAAGTTAAGTCGTACGCTGTGTGCGTTGCTAATAAAAAATCTTACGTTACGGACGTTTTTTCCCGGTTAGGGTACCTCCCCGCATCGTCCAATAAGGAACTTCGGTCCAAAAAAAAAAAACAATTCGATGAAGTTCCTGATTGCTGTCTTGTGACGAACAGACACCGTATGACGTGTACAGACGTAATTTTCAATTTGTCAAATAATATGAATACATCGACAGGTCGAGGAGTGCATGGAGAGTCCAATAACGTTGGCGGCGCTGGGGGCGGGGCTCGACGTCGCGAGGGTGCGCCGAGCTATCCTGCAACGATTGAGATCAACAGGTACATATCTTCATTTTTTGAGCACTTTGCTCTTCTTGCTTGGCCAACGTAATTGTATTTATGTGTCGTCGTGGCCTAAAGGATAATACACCCGGTGCATTCATATTCAGCGCATAAATTCTATCGGCCAACATTCTGTATTTGAGATTTGATTTAAGAATCAAACCATTTTATCAAGATTACTTCTGAGATTAGTAGAGTCGAATAGTTTGATGTTCTAATTATAATTTTTTAACAATATTGTATTTATATGACGTAGCTTTTTTTTTATTGCTTAGATAGGTGGACGAGCTCACAGCCCACCAGGTGTTAAGTGGTTACTGGAGCCCATGGACATCTACAACGTAAATGCGCCACCCACTTGGAGACATAAGTTCTAAGGTCTCAGTATAGTTACAACGGCTGCCCCACCCTTCAAACCGAAACTCATTACTGCTTCACGGTCGAAATAGGCTGAGCGGTGGTACCTATTCGTGCGGACACACGCGAGGTCCTACCACCAGTAGCTTTTTGGAACCCAAATTTTATGTATTATACATTTAAGTGTTAACTTTTAACATTTAACTGTTGTTAAGGTACACCGTTCCAGACTTCAGAGGCACTGATTGATTCCGTACTAGACGCGCAACTAAACGAGGAAGCTTGGAGTACTAATTCGCAGTCCCAAAGCCTTTCGAGGCATTTGGCTGAAACGCTCAGAGGAATGGATTCAATACCAGGGTAAGATTTTAGATAAATATACCGTATATATAACTATGTTCAAAGGAAGGTACATTTGGAATACGCTGTAAAGCATTATAAAGATAAAAGGTAATTAAAGTGTAGTTCATATTCGCCTGTGTTCCTAGATCAATCCAACAAAATTATTGGGTTTACTTTCTTGTGACGTCACACTTTAGTAAACGATAAATATTGTCTTACACATCGAACAAAACATAATTAAGAATCAGTAATAACTTTCTTAACGCATTTAAATTTCCTTTTCTAATAAGTGGTGGGCAGATAAATATAAACTTTTGTGATCGGCTGAGAGAGAGAAAGAGAGAGACGGAAAGAAAGAGCGGGAGTCAACTATAAATTGTCCTCATTGTGACAGAATACCAACCAAATATGTACCTTGAATTCAGATTAAATCTGCTTAGCATCCTTTATCATTTTCATACTGTTGATTTGTTATGTGTATGTAAGTATATTACTCGTAGCAAGTATATTGGTATATAAATCATATAGTAAATCATATATTACATGTAAACGGTATATATCTATTTATGGAATGTGTGTATTTTCTTTAATTATTTATTGTTAATAGTACATCGCAACATACCTGTTGTATCTTATTTATTCCAGAATTTTTGTAAATTTAATGGTTGTCTAGAAGATATCGCTTTTAGCGATAAGACCGCCTATTGTACAAATATATCTGCTTGTTGCCTGTTTTTTTAATGTTAATTGTGTTTTGATGTGCAATAAATTATATTTTCTCTCTCTCTTTAAATTTTCTTGGTAGCAACGACAAATTTCTTTCTCATTGCTACCAAGGAAGTTTACTTTTTGTACTTCAAAAAATAATTTCGATTGAAACAAACCATTGTGTTCAATTCCGAATTTATTTGCTTTACAGTATAGCACCGCAGACGTGGGACAACAACCCGGATAGAGGCAGATCGCAAAGAGACGGTGTATCTCCGTCGCTTACTGAAATCGAATCGAGGCGGTCGACCAGCCAACCGCGAACATTGCCACCGCGCAGGAACGTATCTGTTATCGATGACGACAGAACTGAGCCTTTGCATAAAGAGGAAAGCTTAACGTTGGAAGAAGAGAATAGGCAGCTCAGAGAGGCAAGGCTGTGCAAAGTTTGTATGGATAACGAGGTGATTATATTTCTTTTATTTATATAAAATGGAACTACGCAAAAAAAAAGAATCGTTCAGAAATGAATAATAATAAATAAGCTTGCATTTTTATGACATCACCAGCACTACTGTACTTAAAGTAATATTTCAGTTCATCAAGTTGATTAGACACTATTTAGATTTTTTTTTAAAACATATGCAAACGTTTAAGGCCATATTGGTAAAACGTTGATGTCTTCATCGAGTTAAACGATATTATTGTAATAAAACAGATAAATTTTCTTTATTAAATTGGTACAGATTTGTGAGTTTGTAGGAAAATTTACTATAACTAGTGGTCCCGCAGTAGTCGAAATTCGTCTTTAATTAATTGAAATTATAAGTTTGAACATTATTTTCTATGTTCTGAACATAATGCTTCTGTTTTCAAAGACTACTTATAAAATATACTTATAAAATATAAAACTATACTTATAAAATCACAGATTTCAACCAAGACTACATTATTTATTTATTTATTTATTTAAGGATTACCGACAGGGTTTACAGTAAGACATAAAATAATATTGACATGTATAGGGCAATTGATAACTGCAACTCTAATTAGAGGCAATCACCGCATGCATTACATTAATATATCAATAGAGATTTAACAATACTATTAATAATAATAAAAAATTAAAAACAAAAGAAAGACAACAAGGACAGTAATACCCGAGTACTGATTAAAGACAAATAATATTAAAGATAAACAATATTAACCTATTGTCAATTTACCAACAGACTTTATGCATTAACAAAGTTTGACAGTAAACAAAGAGTATATATTTTATATATTATTATATATTATGTGTGTGTGTCAAATACATGGTAGTGTGTGTAATGGTTTTGATTTAATGTATTATTAATGCATAGTTTAAATAAAATATTAGCTTTCTGCACTCCTTATCTATAAGTGTGGAAAATTTCATACTCCTCCGTTAGCGCATTTTTGGTAAAAAGGGGTACAAAGTTTTTGCTTCACGTATTAATATATAGATTCCGCTAAGTTCTTCCGTGCTCTGTCCCGCCGTCTCAACAGCCCTGACTGGGCTCCGGCCCGGTCCGGGGTAGGGCGCCGGCTGTGAGCGGCAGGAGTTTTTAGTGAGGTTCAACGCCTACATATACCCCGCCTGCCGCGCGGGTGGAAATTCGGCGATTTTCTCCTTTGGGAAAAAAATATCTTCGATGAACCAAGTCGAATGTTACAAGGGAGTGGTTGTTGCAGGTGAGCGTGGTGTTCCTGCCGTGCGGGCACCTGGTGTCGTGCGCGGGGTGCGGCGCGGCGCTGAGCGCGTGCCCGCTGTGCCGCGGCGCCGTGCGCGCGCTCGTGCGGGCCTACCTCGCCTGACACGGTCAAACCATCACGTCAGTACATGCGCTTACATCTACAACTAATTATTCTAATTTCTCGACGACAGGGTTGCCCGCATACGTCGTACAATAGCGTGATTAGATGAACTGTAATGTGTAGTTTTGCAGCAACCGATCGGGTGCTGACCGGGTCTTTCGCCAAACGAGTTTCATTTTTAAGCATTTGGATTTTACGCTTTTTAAGCCTGTTTTTACGGTCCAATAATACAAGCTTCTTAATTAAAACCGGGTCAAAGCTTGTTAATTCATTACAACTTTTCAAAAGCTAGCTTAGTGTTTAAATATATTTTACACATTTTACAAACATATACACATATTTTACAAACATACATTTGCAACAAGAAAACTTGTTAAAATATTAACAAATTAAAATTATAATCTATACATTTAATGTCCTTCTAATATTATTTTTGTCATTAAACATAGTATACTTATAGTAATCTAGAATGGGTATAAAACAGTGACATGCATTTTCTTTTAACCCGGATAATAATTATGATTGTTCTTTTTTCTGCACTTTTAAAATGTTTATTAATAGAAAGAATCGAGAACAGATAACTTTTCTACTACATTTAACTATGATAATAGTCGCAAGATATCTTTAATATATCTAATAAAGCCGATTACAATTTGAAGAGTTTAATAATAATAAAAAATGGCAACCGACTTTATGTCACTTAAATTATGTACGTATTCTTATTGAATTAATTCTATTTCAGGCTACCAGTGGACCGGCATCGCAACTAGTGACTGTAACAGTGAAACGTATTGTTTCTTTTTACGTGATTTAAGTGAAAATTAATTATAAATTATTTATCATGTGAGTATAATTTGTTCTGTCTTTATATGTTGCTACTATAACAATACGAATGAAAGGAAAAAAAATGTAAATCGGGAAAGTAATCTTTTGAAATTCACCATTTAATTATTAATTGACGCTGGAAACGGAATAATGATGATAAAAGGTAAAGCCTTCTTTAAAATAATTTTAATAGTCTCAAGTGAATGAAAAAACATTAGATTGTTTATGAAATTTTACTCTTTGTCCGTTACGTGACAGAATCCCTCGAACGCCTACGCGTTGATTAAAATCGAACAATTAATAAAATTTATTAAAGAGATTTCGTCTCATTTATTTTAATGCTTAATAAATTTATGATTGTGCATTTACTGCATGATATAATTATTTCTAATCATTGGATACGAATTAGAGCGATGAACCGTATATTATAAATGTTTGAATTAGTGATGAAAAAAAAATTTACGAAGAATTAGATGATCGTGGCACAACCCTTATAACTAGCGTTGCCAGATTTTTTTTAGCCCATAATGGGCCAATGCTTAAATAGGCAAAAAACTACGGGATATTAGTTTTTTACCCGGGTAAAAAAAAACTAAATTATATAGTGACATTTTTTTTTTATTATATTTCTCCGAGGAGCAAGTCAGTTTTAGCATATTTTTATCGGTTTTAACATATTTATAAAAATCAATACAATTATAACCATACGGTTCAAATACAGGACAGAGTCAGTCGCGCCGGGACATTTTGAATTAAGCCTAAAATACGGGACGTCTAGGGAAATGTGGGACGTCTGGCAACCCTACTTATAACCCAAGTACACTTTCTGTAGAATTAACATAAGTCTGTTTATTTTTTAGAAAAATAGATAAGTAGAGAAAATCACTGTCAACATAATATCTCTGTATGTATCTGTGTATATTTCAATGCAAAGAATCAAATCTAAAAATCCGTTCTAATAAGAATTTTAACTACGCATGCAACTATATAGTATGTATTATTTACGTAATAATTAATTGAGTTTACTTAAAGTAAATCATTTAAATTTTGGTGTTGTTTAAATCTTATCATTTAATTTGGAAAACTAATTGTATATTAAAGAAATACGTAAACAAATATATTTAGTGAGTATATTCAAACATTATTGAAATAGGAAATTATCTATTTAACGTTTGAAATTAAAAGTTACGAACATTAGAGAATAGAAAAGAAAAAATGTTTTGAATATTAAATATTTGTAGACATTTCGCTTAGCATTCAATTTTACTCGTCTAGTACTAGAATTCAAACTGTGGGCTGAGTAGTACTTACAAACTCTAGTCTCAACGTCACATGTTATAGATAATTTATTATGGAATTAAAGATAAATCGTTAGTTCCACGTCGAGACATTGACATTCACTCAGACAGAGAGCAGTCTGACAATTGAAGACATGAGTGGATGACGGGGATATGATACAAATTGTTAATTTTGAGAGAACGGGTAACAAACTTTTGTTACTTGTACTTTTTCTTCGTACATAACACCTTCATCACATGCACTTTCTAAAAATAGCTTTTAAACCCGGAGTTTTAAGGTTTAATATGGTTTATAGGCACATAAACCTTCATTCAGTGTAAAAACTCAAAAATCTTAAAAATGGTACGTTATCCCTTCCTCTACTCATGTCTTCAATTATTGTTGATCAAAAAAGTTATGCTTTGTTTACGTTATGCAAAAGGTTTTTCTAGTAGTAAGCCTTAAAACTATAATAGATTTTAGATTGTTAGATCACACATACAACGCATTGATAGTGTAGTGAATTGATTGAATAGTCTTTTAGATAATGTTTCCGGTAACTAATAGTTAAAATTAGGAAAAAACATATGTATGTATAATATGTAAGGACGGATGTGATGAGAAGAAAAAAAAATGTTTTAAATTGATTTTGTAGTTACATTTGAATGAACTTTTTGTTCCAATTTATGTCGAAGTAAGTTCAGTTGATATTTGAATTTCGTTGAACGTATTGATGATTTTTAATTTAATTAAATCATATTAATATTATATATTTTAAGTATATATATATTATTATATTAGGTAATTTAATTTAATGTAAACTTGCCTTTCTTTTTATTTTAATATTAATAGTGCAATAAATTGTTTAAATGATCTGAAGCGATGACACGATCATGGACGCGGTGCTCGCACAAATTTGTGACAGATTTTACGTCTTAATGCGTATAGTCTATAAGCGTTGATCGCGTTTGTACCCATTTAATATACATTGACTTCTCTCACTGATACTATATGAACTAGTTTTCTTCCAATTTCGTTTCCATCACAAACATATCATGGCAGACAGAGATTGAGCGACCAATTTATTTCGGAATTAAATATAAAAAATATATATTTGCAAACGCTAAAGGCAACGTTTGTAGTTTTCGAACTGCCTATTTACGGTAAACGGCTGTGCTGATATGTTGAATTATACTTAGGACGTAAATTGTTAAAAATTTGAAAGAAATCAAAAGCCTTAAAATTCGATAAGAAAACGATGGAAATACCATCGGGAACTGTTCGTTATAAGTCGTAACTTTTAAATTACGACTACAATAAAGACAACTTATCGTAATACTGTCGAGACTTTGGTCAACAGCAAAACGAAAAAAAAACGACACATCGGAGAAGTTAAATTTGAATGTTTAAATAGTTTGAGTGCGAAGAAACTGCCGCATTGTCATTGTCAAATAGCACCTCGAGTACTTTCGGAGTGAAGCAAGAATATATACAGCACGTACAGACGCGAAGCCAATACGATCTAAAATAGTGTAAGCGCCTTTATCGAAGATAGCGGGAATTGTTGTGGGAAAATGTTATTAATGTTATTTTTAGATTGTAATTGGTATTTGAAACGATATTGAAGTGGGGAATTACACGGTTTATAACCACGAATAATTGTTTTATTGAACGTAATGGGACGACAACGCGAAATTTGTGCTAATGGCCATTCTATCTGGCACATTAGTTTGATAGTGCCCTATTTCTCTAGATAATCTCGGAGTCCATAGTTTTCATTTAGAACTTTTTACATTATCTCTCTGCTTTGAGAATCGCTCGTGTTTCTACAATATGAAGTTCTCAATTTTACAGTATGTGTTACGCAGTACTAGTGGTCGGACCTCTTGTGAGTCCGCATTGGTAGGTACCACCACCCTGCCTATTTCTGCCGTGAAGCAGTAATGCGTTTCGGTTTGAAGGGTGGGGCAACCGTTGTAACTATACTTAAGACCTTAGAACTTATATCTCAAGGTGGGTGGCGCATTTACGTCGTAGATGTCTATGGGCTCCAGTGACCACTTAACACCAGGTGGGCTGTGAGCTCGTCCACCCATCTAAGCAATAAATAAATAAAAGTAATTTTTAGTTATTCAAATTCTGTGGAAAAAAATGTATTTGTATAGTTTTGAGCTGTGCAATAACGATGACTATGTTTTTCCTTTGCATCTCTCGTATTTTTTAATGGAACAAAATAAATATATTTCTTATTTATTTTAAGATAACGCAAAAGTTCCTTATCCAAAATCAATCAATTCATTTTTGATCAATATTCGAAATAAATAAATAAGCCATCTGTTAATTACTGATTATACTAGTTATAAAGGTGTGATATATTATTATGTAAATGGTTGCTTGATTAGAGGACTCACCCAAAATAAATGGCATCTCATATCTTGAGACATTTCATTTTCATGCATGCTTGCTTTACGTTTGAGCTCACAATATAGTCTGTAGCATCATAATTATTCAGTTTTAATTGTTACGATAATTTTTTTTGTCGTTATAATTTTTATCAAACCTTTTTTTTAAATATTATAGTGAGGGTTATTCGTAAACACATGACAGGTACGTATTTTAAATTTAGTGCAGTAATACTATTATTAGGTAACAATATGTGTGACAGTTAATACTTACATATTGTTTAATCACAAATGGTACCTATTATTTACAGTATATTAAAATTTATTAAATATATTATACGACCAGTATTTAGGGATCAGAGTGGATGCCTAAACTAAGGGAGTGGATGCCTAAACTAAGGAAAAAAGAAGATATCATCACGAACAGGAAAGGTATACATGAACTGGCCACAGAATTTTACAAAGAATTATACTCAAACAAAGACGCATGTAAGCACCATATCACACAACCATCCAAGAGTAAAGTAACAAACAGCCTACCAGAGCAGGAACCAGATATTTTGGAAAGTGAAGTGGAAAAGGCAATAAAAAGCCAAAAAATGGAAAAAGCTCCTGGACCGGATAAAATAACAAACGAAATGTTGAGGGGGACTATGGATGAACTAGTACCAATACTAACTAAGATGTTCAACCGAATTCTGAAAAGTGGATATATACCAACACAATGGGAAACCTCATATATAATCCTACTATACAAGAAAGGCGCAAAGGATGACATTGGGAATTATCGGCCAATAAGCTTAATGTCGAATATGTACAAAATATTTGCAAAAATTATTTTGGGCAGGGTTAGCGCAAAATTAGACGAAAACCAACCAATGGAGCAAGCCGGGTTCAGACGGAATTTTTCAACAATAGACCACATCCATACACTCAAACAATTAATTGAGAAGTACAACGAATTCAACAAAACACTGTATGTGGCTTTTATAGATTATGCAAAGGCTTTTGATTGCATTAGTCATAAAGCAATGTGGGAAAGCCTAGGAAAGCAAGGTATACCAGAAACATATTTAGACATTATCAAAAATATATATGCAAACAGTAAAGCAAAAATCCAGTTAGAAACCCTGGGAAAAGAATTCCGAATCAAGCGAGGAGTCAGGCAGGGAGACCCAATGTCCCCAAAGTTGTTTTCAGCAGTGCTAGAGAACGTCTTTCGCAACCTTGACTGGGAACATCTAGGCCTCAACATAGACGGAAGGAAACTAAACCACTTAAGATTCGCGGACGATATAGTTCTGCTTGAAGAAAATCCAAAGGCACTCGAAAAGATGATCCAAGCTCTAAATACTGAAAGCTCCAAAGTGGGGTTAAAAATGAACATAACAAAAACGAAATTGATGACTAACTCAGAAATAAGGCCCATTGAAATTGATGGACAAAAAGTAGAATATGTTGACGAATATTGCTACTTGGGTCAGATCATCTCCCCTAAAGACCAAACAACCAAGGAAATAAATAAGAGGATTGCTAATGGGTGGAAAAAATACTGGTCTCTTAAGGAAGTTGTAAAAGCTAAAGAACACAATATGGCAACGAAGAGGAAAGTATTCAATACTTGTATTCTCCCATGCATCACATACGGCTGCGAAACATGGTTCCTTACAAAACACCATAGAGAAAAACTGGGAAAGTGCCAGAGAGGTATGGAACGAAGCATGACAGGAACAAGAAGACAAGATAGAGTTAGCAATGTGCAATTAAGAGAAAAAACAAAACTAACTGACATCCTGGAAAAAATAGACCTCCAAAAATGGAGATGGACCGGCCATATGTTGAAATCTAGACAAGAAAAGTGTAGTCAAATTATAACGAACTGGTATCCAAGAGATGGCAAGAGGTGTCGAGGACGTCAACAAATGCGATGGGAAAATGAGCTGAAACTTACCGCCGGACCCAAATGGAGAAGAGTTGCTCAAGATAGAGAACAATGGAGACTACTGGAGGAGGCCTTTGCCAGAAGGCACACTGAGTTGAGAGACATCTTATAAACAAACAAATCAAAAGATCCAATCAGAAAGATAAATCTCACCCAGTTTAAAGGGCTAATCATTATTATTATTATTATTATTTAGGGATCCAGAGACGAAAGCTCTATGCTATATAAAGAATGAGCGCTTATTACACCAGACTATTAACACCACTAGATAATGAAATCTTCCTACGTTGTCGGCCGAAGTTTTTGGTTATCAAACACAACTATTAGGCCTTCCAGATTTCCTGAAGTCCGCCCATTCATCCTAAGGCGAGGTCTCTGGACGAGCCTTTTGTAGTTTTGTGATAAAATATCAAATTTTTACCATACCTAATATAATCAAAATGTTGGAATATGTAAATTATTGAAATGTAAGTGAGTTTTCTGCTTTCGGGTATTTATCAGAGAGAAATTTATGGAACGAGCTCATGTCCCAACAGGACAACCTAAATATCTTTTTCGTCTTCTTCTCATTCTTTTTCGTTTACCTATTACTGGTCGAGGTGTAATGCTATACCGAATATGTATGCGAGCTCTATGGGTTCAGTCAGAGAGATCGAAATACCGCTTGGAAACATGAGGTAGAGTTAATGCGAGTATTTGCATTATAATAAACTGCATCCACGTCTCGTACATTAATACATTTAATAGTTCAACTGAATACAAAATCAATTGTAGAACACAAGGATTTTCGCGAGCTTTAATATTTCACGGAACGCGAGAATGTCATTACGCAGGAATGAAGCAAAGGGTAACGGGCCGAACGTTGTTCGGGTGTTCGTTTTGTCTGATCAAAGGCGGTT